ATTTGACCGCGGATGACCACTTACCTGCTTTCTCGTGGAGAAGCGCCGTTTCGCCACTTGCGCAATTGCCTTCATGCAGCACAACATGATAGTCTGGGCCGCTGGGGCCGAGCGTGCGAAAGGATTCTGCCTCATTGTCTTCCCAACTGACCAGAATGCCCCCGGGGTATGGCTTCAAGTTGATGCTGTGCGGCAGATATCGTAGTCGCCGTCCAATCTGGCGCATGAACTTTATTTCTGCAGGTCGAGATGTCGGATGTGCTTTGAACATGGATGCAATCGATCGAACCAAGAGCTCTTCCACCACATGGCAACAGAAAAAGGGGGCGTTTGTGTCGGCAAGGTTGCTCGGAGACCAGGGCCGGCAGAATGACCGGTGGTGCATACAAGCAAAGTCCAACCATCGGCAATGTATCTTGAGCGTACCCTGTCCCTTGTCAAAGTATACGTCGACTTTGCCGGTCGAGCCTCGGATGTAGACTACCTAAATATGGTCGGTGAACCTCAGCAGAGCGAAGCAGGCTCGCAGCGCTCGGTCGACTGCTCTCGCGAATGTGGTATCCGGGATGGTGCAGGGCTTTGCATCCTTAAACAGCTCTTGCTGCTCCTCTTCGACGGTCCGGATTGGGCTGTGGGCACGCAGCATCTGCCACAGCGTGTCCGGCAGGCGTGCCGGGCGCTTGCCGAGGCTGTCCCGGATGGTGTTCGCGATCTATCTGCATCAGTTATCAAAATGCGACACTGTCTATACCCGAGTACGTACTTGATCATTGCTCCTCTCGCTGTAAAAGAATTCCGTATCTGCTGACTCGCGCAGCAGGTATTGCCAGATCCGACGCACCGCCGGTGGCTCTAAAAGAGGGCCTATCATCTCGGCGTCGGCAGAACGGGCGTGCCTCCGCAGGAGATCGACAAGTAGAGGCAAGATGGTGTCTTCCTGCTGCGTAGAGCTTCCTCCCATATCCGTTGCACTTGGCGAGCCGCATCCCGCCAGGATGCCAGTCCGCAACGGTCGCGGCAGGTGGTCAAAGAGGCAAAATTGTACGCGAAGAGGAATGCGCCACCCACGGTGGAATTGGTCAAGGTGATCCCATTGTGATACAGCTGACCTCGCAGCTGGGGATCAAGAATTAAGTCGCCATGTGGTGTGGAAATGATACCGGCAGGGTAGGTGAGCCCGCGAATGTCCATCGTCGTCAAGCGGAGCCAATTCACAAACGCGTCTAGCGCGACTGGTCGGCCTGACTTAGCCCGCGTCGCGCCGATCACCACTGCCACGTCCCTCCCCACATGGTATCGTAGGCTTGCCATGTCGAGGGCAGGATCGGTCCACTCGATCGACTTGGTTTTCTGAGACGGTGCGACAGTACAAGAAACCGATGCGTCTGTGTGCATGCCAAACCTCCAATTGCAACCACTCGCGGCGATACTCACCTGGTAGCCATCTCGAGAGAGAACCAACGCCGCCAGCTTGAGACCTTGGCCGTGACGTCCGACAAGATGGTCGTGGGCACCGTGGACATCTTTGGTTGAGAATCCCATAGCTAGAGCATTGATGGGTAGTTGCATGCATGGATTTGCGATCGTGATCCTGCCGGTCTTTTTTTCGTACTGAATGAAGCCCAGTGCGCGTCGATTCTCACGCTCCGCTGGCTGGTCGGCAAAGGTTTGATCAGGAACAATGATTGAGAGATGGTCACTGTAGTCTTCCAAGAATGGCTGGAAGCTCTGACGGTCATGATTGAATCTTTCTATGATGGCGTCCTTCCTGCGTTGATTAGCGTTTGTCCAGCGGAAGAGGCCAGCACGTACCAATTTTGATACAATTCCCGAAAAGCATCTGCTGGCACCCAGTCTTTGACGTAGCCGGGGGAGATGCCGAGAGACACCACGCGTCGGGGCGCTCGGTATGTCGCGAGTGTGGGTTTCTGACTCTGGAGCAGCTCGCGTTTAAGCTGCTCGTTCGCCTGAGCCATCAGGCTATCATCCTCGCTCGTGTCGGTGTCGTGATTGGTTGTCATTCTTGAATGTCGCGTAAGTGACTCAAAGTGAGTTGGTTTTGGGAAGAGAATTGACTGGAGAAGGGTGACTATTTATATTCTGGCTTCCGTACTGAACCATGAGACCTATTACAAATGCTGAGCAACGGTCACCTTTCTATCATACACTAACAGTCTTATGATGAGGGCAAGTGCCTCACTTCCTTGAGCCTTGCATGTAGGATTGACAAGCGAACGTTTCACCCACTCAGTGGCTTGAAGTTGACACTCACCATTGACGGCGTGGGTCATGTTTTGCAGGTGATGCGGTAAGCGTTCACCCACTGCTTTCCTGGTGTCCGCTTAACAATGAGTCAACATGCGTGCAAAATATCTGCTCAGTTTCTATCTTGACACCACATTTACAGGTAGCCGAAATGAGCATGCAAAATGTGGTAGCACAAATGATTGTTCTCTTCTATAGGGAAATTGCTCATGAGTTTAGGCATAATGTCGAACTTGGGAGTGGTATCTTACCACTAGCAACATGCTTATTCATCGAGTACCCACATGTCAAGGAGATGGAACTGTCGAGGAAAGTAGAGCAGTTACTTACAGCTGCCTCCTATTGGTTTCCTCGGTTCCCCACTTTTCTTTCCCATTTGTATGTATTTACGGGGTTCCGAGACAACGCTTACAAGTCACTCTCGAGTATCCCATGGGACCTCTAAGACACGGAGGAATTGGTCCCATCCACATATCAACTATGAACCAACTCTGCAGATGTGTATTTAACATACCTCTGCCTGCCAATCAATCAATCAATCCACTCGTTTTCTCTTAATTCGCCAGTTCTCATACGTATGCATACCCGTAGCTGATAGTTCGTCATTTTATCCTAATGAACATGCCTATGACTGTCTGGCGCCTTACCAGAATAAACCCTTCGACTTTCATCTCAACGAATAAACATAAAACAACTCCAACTCATACATAATCCTCACTCCGCAGACGGATATTCACCCTGTGCTGAGTCCTAAATCCGTTCATGCCAATTTGACCTTTCGGGTATGTTTCTCCCATCCTTATCCAATCACTCCTTCCACCCCACTATACTATGCAGCTTGTCGGCGTATCATTGGCTGATCCTTGCGGACGTGCATCGAACTGTCCAGCGTCCCCTTACCAAAACCAAGTTTGCAAACTCGGCATTATCACTCTACTCGGTATTACTTTTCACTCTAATTTCGTTTCAGGGCCACAGCGTGCGCAGGCGCGTCACCAGTTTCGTTTGTTAGACAGACTACCAATGCACTCATCTTTGATCTGATTCGCCTCTATGCATACTAGCGTATACTGTTTTAGCTTGCTCTGACAGTTCTTCTGATATATAGAAAGAATACGCTTCTGTATGCTCTAAGTTTTGGGGGTTAGACGTCACGCAGTCCCTCGCCAACAGACCCCATGGAAAGCCAAGAAACGTACCTCCCCTGTCTGGGCACTTGAATCTCTCGTCAGGAATAGGCTCTACGAGCGAGACAAATTGAGCTGCCTTCACTGACAAAACCTGCAACGGTCAATTGTTAGAGAATGCCAGGAGAGCTGACGTCTGACGAGGTATTTATAGGTGTGGGGCTTACTTGATAATGATGGTCTCTGATCGAATCGTCAGTTTTGAGCAGGCATTGATGGAAAAGTGGATGGGTAGAATCAAGCATTCCCGCAGAAAAAAGTCAAGAAGGCCGAGGAGATAATGACTCCCGCCCAACAACGACCTTCCTTACCATCAATTGAAGCTGGTGGTAGATACCCCATGGATTATACCAGCTGCATTATATGCCCCATATTTTAATGTTCTTGCCCATATTCTTTATTGCCCGATTCCTTCGAAAACAATCCTTTATTCCGCATCAAGTGAGACGCCGGCTAAATGTACACGCATAGCTTATCCTTACCCACGATGTACATGTACGTGCTGACATTTCCACAGCGCCAATAAAATGCGGTCTAAAGCGTAATCTGAACGGAGATATGTCTTATCTGGTAGAACAGCCCGTCTCCTCAGCTTTCCCATCATCCGTCAACCTCAAAAAAATTGAGCTAACTCGCTTCTCATCATATGCCTCAAAATGTCCCCGATGCATTGAAAGGGCGAAAGCAATGGAGAGGTAAAGAAGCATTCTCCCAAGTATAACACCCCGACAGCATTTAGTTTGTGGACAGGGCTGGCCAAACCTGCCTCGCTAATTGGGTGTTGGTTGAATGCTTGAGGCGCTTCACTATTTTTCAGGTTATTCCCCGACCATTTAGTTACTTCGCTATGCTGCATGTCTTTTTTCTTGGCCCATAAATCTTAGGCCATCGCTTTTTTCAGTTGTTTCCCGTACTACCACTCGGTGATTTGAACGTATTTGTCAAGCTGCGACCTTTATTAGCTAGTAGGCAATAGCTTGGGCACCTGCAGCAGAAAATCTAGACTGGTCATGAGTCAGTGAACTCAAATCCCAGTTTGCTCTGGTTGGCGGCCGAGGTGAACGAAAAGCTCTCTAGGGAATGTGGCAAACAAAGACCTTGTGAAGGGATGTATAAGACGTGCCAAACCATTGTGCGTCTGGACATCAGTTCCGGGAGAATGAGAGCACACGACAGCAAATGAGGGAACCATACAGAGACAATTTGCCAGCGCACACTCCTACACATTACAGAATGCAATATCTGCATTGATCGCGGCAATCCAACACGGATAATCTTTTTCAGTCGTGGCGCCCGGTATAGTCAGGACCTATCGATTAGCATCATATCTTTGTTTATCTTGTAGTATGTGGAGAAAGAGAGCAAGATAGTAGGAGGGTTGGAAATGTGCCTTTGCATTCACATAACAGTATAGGAAAACCTAAATAAGGAAAAACCTATACCAAGGCGGATAGAAAAGAAAGCCAAACAATTCGAAAGTAGAGAGGAAGATGATGGTCATTCCATTCCAAGAAGAGTCGAAAAGAGAGGTTGTGTGCAACCAGCAGAATGTTAGCTGAACGTGAGGCACATGTTGTGGCAGAGGAAGAGGTTACTGGACAACCTTCGACTTGGGAACGTGTATATGAGCTAATGCGATGTAATGTCCGCTCATGTCCCCATAAGTCTGACTGGTGCTGGGAGGACCCAAAGGACAAGAAGCATTACAAACTCAGGACCCCTCATCTAGAACGACTCATCGACATAGTCGATGAGGGTGGCATCTTGGACGGTCATGACGATATTCCCGGTGATATTCGTCGAGACCTCACGAAAGCCAGGCAGGAAGAAAGTATTGAATTGTGGTTCTAACCAGCAAATCGAAGTAGATGACAACTCTGTCTTTTATAATAATAATAATAATAATAATATTCCTCAGGCTTTTCACGACCTTAGGTCGTATGTAGCCCCCTAGCTAGTGTGCACCGCTCCAGAGGATATGTACATTTGATAGCGTTACCACATGCGCGATCTCCAATTCAGACCTTCTTCCTCACCCTTCAAGAGCCAACCGTCCCGTCTCCATTGCAAACGCGATGACGGCTCGGACAATCTTGACGTCGGGTTTCCATGCCCTTCCATTCGGTTCACTCGCATCCCCTACGATCTCAGGTTTACCTCCCAGCATCTGCGATAGACTACCGAGGCTCGGACCTGCGGCTTCAATCAGTGCGCGACGCTGTTCATTCCACCGTGTACATCGAAGCAAGAAATGCGGGACAGTTTCACGCTCAATGCCACACTCGCACAAATCACTATCAGTCTTGCCGATCCGATGAAGATATCCATTCAGTCTGGCATGTCCCGTACGGAGTTGGGCTAGTATCGATGCTTTCTCCCGATCCAGGCTATCATACAGCATCTTCGTGTGGGGTCCTGGGAGAGCTGAATCCAGCTGGCGTGTAAACTGACCGGTGGTCCACAGTTGGAAGTTGTCCTTCCGGTGCTGTTTAGCATTCGCCCGAGCCCATCGCAACGCCGACGCCCGGAGCTGGACCTGGGCCCAAGTCGGGGGATTCACTTCGCTATTCTCTCTCGTTGCTTCGCGAGCAAGGGTTTGCGCTCGAACGGTATTCTCGCTGTCTGCTTCTGTTGGTGGCCGCAGGTAGACTTTGGCACCCATCTCCGCCAGCCGAGTAATTCCTTCCGTGATCTGAGTGATGAGAGCCTGTCCGCCTTGGAGATGTGGCTTTGCGAGCGACAGCAGGACGGCAGAGTTGTTCACAACGATCGTGACCTGTACTTTCCACGGTGACATCTGAATACGATGGAGCATCGTTTCAACATACGCGACAGCCTCGAACACTACCCCCAGCTGTGCGTAGTGAGCATTGAGCGCGTCGTCATTGCCGACCGTCCGTTTTGACGAGACGATGTCGACTTGATTAACGCGAACAACCAGCCCTGTTCCAACCAGTCCATTGCGGACGCTGACACTGGTGAGCAACCAGAGACGGGCGTGACCGGCCTCGTGCAACTCGTGCATATCGGATCCGACGGTGGCTATCAACTCCCTAAGAGACCGTTGCCACGGATCTAGAGGAAAGGGTCGAATGACCTCCATGTCAGACAAGCACTGTGGTCCGTACTTCGCCAGTATTTTGAACGGCGACGGGTAGCTCCCATCCTGCATTGCAGCCGCCGCTCGACAGGACCAGAAGGGGTGGTCCTTTGGTAAGGTGTGGCAGACGATCCAATGCTTCAAGATGCGTGCTCGAAGGCGTACGACAGTCGGTTCAATCCCCGCATCTGCCTCGGCAATAGTGAGGGCAGTGTTTCGGAACACGCCCACGATCGCCTGAGACGCGACTCGCTGGATGGCTTCGAACGGCCGTCCGATGCCCGCCGCAACAATAGAATCCTGTCGTATGGGGCACCACACAGATGCTGCATAATCAATCTTCGATGCAACTGTGGATGCGAAGAGCTGGCGAGCTACCGAAGGAGGTAATCCGCGCAGTCGTCTTAGTGCAAGGACGGCTTTCATTCCTTTATTCGCAGCCTTTCCAATGTGTGATTTGAACCGTAGCCCCTGGTCGAGTATCACGCCGAGAATCTTAACTTCAGGCACTGGGGTAACAGTCGCTCCATTCACGTGTAACGGGACCGCGGGAAGTTGGCGCTGCCGCTGGTTCCTCGTGAAGTGGATGAATGATGTCTTCTCTGCCTCGAAGGCTGCGCCAGACTGCGCCGCCCATTCTAGCGCTCGTGGGATGACCTTCTGCTGGAGTATGGTTGTATTCGCCTCAGCAGACGAGCCTACCGTCCATCGTGTATAATCGTCGACGAAAGCGATTGCTCCCTTTCTTCTGGTGATGGAGACATCCACCAGATTTGCATTCAGGAACAGGAAGAGAATAGGAGAGAGCGGCGAGCCTTGCGGCAGGCCCGCGTGCTCGATGGCCATTTCCTCGGATTGGTACATATTCACGACGATCGACGCCCGTCGTGAGGAGCAGAAACTGTCAACCCATCGGATTAGGACCTCCGGGATTCTTCGTTCTCGCAACCTTCGCAACAGGACACCCCGATCCACACCGTTATAGGCTCCCTTGACATCGAAGCTCACCAGACTGAGGACTTTGCCCTCACGCCACGCATCGTGTATCTTTTCTATTAGGATGTTGAGCGCTTGTTCGCACGATCGCCTCCGACGAGCCCCAAAATGATTCGGGGGCAGGAGCTGGTGTTTTTCGACGAGCGCTGAGATTCTGTTGGCGACGACTGCTTCTAGTACCTTTCCAAGGGTCGCCAACAGCGAGATTACCCCTAGTTTCTAGCAATTTGTATGGGGTTACAGCTGACTAAGGACGAAACATAAACAATACAAGCATGTGGGGCATTCTCAGTAATTTCCCTCGACACGTTACGCCAACCATACAACGAGGTATACATATGTGTCAGAGCATGGCGAATCGGTTTCGCCTAGTAACGAAGAGGCCAATGGGGCAAAGAGTGTGTATTGTAGAATATCTGAAGACAGGCACATATATACATTTGTGTAGCGAGGGGCGCTAGCCACTTTGGGTTAGTAGCTAGCTGGACAATACGAAGGTGGGTATTTGCTTCGACAATATGGAATGTGGAAGAGGTGCCTATGCACCACCAAAGCCGCCTGTTGATACATCACATCGCTTACCCGCTTGCATACGCACAAAGGGACCCCTCTAAAAAGGAGGAGCTGGAACCTCTTCCGAGGACCAGCGATTAGTCTGAATATCATCGTACCCATATCAGGCACATCTCACATTCCTCACTCGTATCCACATCGTATCAGGACACCCTCAGGATATTGTCCTAACACTTGTATAGCATTGAGTAATTGCTAGAAAAACGCAAAATGTCTGCCAAACAACGCCTTTCTATTTTGGTCCCGGTCACTGTTGTCGAAACGCTTTTAGTGCATGCCTCCCGTATGAGTACAGAGCGGCCTGCTACAATATTCCTCTACGCCCTGGGGATCAATTTTGTCTTGCTAGCAACATGGAGTATATTCATATGGCCTTTCATTTTTAACCCCCTTCGACATCTACCAACTGTAAAGGTAATCAACCCTCCACATGAATAGTTACACCACTAACAGGCAGCTACAGGGTCCTCTCATCGGTGCAAAAGTCTTCATGCGCCATCCCCGCGGCCGCATTACAATAGATTGGCTGCGAACAATTCCAAACGAAGGACTGATTCACTTCCGCGAGGCTTTGAACTATAGCTTTCTGTTGGCAACCAATCATCGCGCCTTGGTTGATGTCCTGAGTACGAACAGTTACGACTTTATCAAGCCGCCAGGTGGGCGTGAGTTCTTTGCCCGCGGGCTAGGATACGGTCTCATTCTTTCTGAGGGCGATGCCCATCGTGCGCAGCGGAAGGCGGTGACCCCTGCTTTCACGATCAAGAATATTCGCGCAATGTATCCTCTCATGTGGACCAAAACGCAGCTGTTTTTGAGTCAGCTTGAGAAGGAAATCCGATTTCATCCTGCTCCCGGTACGGATACTGCGAATGCTGTGGGATTTGTTGAGATTGGGAGCTGGGCTAGGTAAGTAATATTCAAAAATCTAGGATCCTAGTGTCGGGTCTGAAACTGATGTGATGGGCTAGTCGCTTAACATTGGACATCATCGGACCTGCAGCGATCGGCCGGGATTTTCAGTCTCTTGAGAACGAAAATGACCCAGTTTCGAAGAATTATTCTGCGATCTTCAAGCCTTCCGGTGATTTCCTTTTGCTTTTTGGTGCCTCCCTGCTACTGCCACAGTGGCTTGTCAAGCTCATTCCCTGCAAGGCAAACCTCGTGCTCCCGCGTAATGTGAAATATCTACGACAGGTATTCCACTATATCCTTCACGAGAAACGGGCCTTGCTCGCTCGTGAAAAAGGCGAGCAAGAGCTCGCCGACGGGGATATCCTGGGCACGATGATGCGAGGCGGGGAGTTCAGCGATAGCGAGTTGGTCGATCAAATGCTCACATTCCTCGCGGCTGGGGTATGTCTTCCGAGTTTTCACAGACTAAAATAGCCAAAGCTAACAATAGACAAGCACGAAACAACCGCAGGTGCCTTTACATGGTGCTGTTATCACCTCTGCATTGAGCCAGAGATCCAAACAAACCTGCGCGAGGAGATCCGCGCCACAATTGCGTCCCCAGCTGCCTCCGTTTCATGGCAAGATCTAGAGGGCATGCCGTACCTCAACGGCGTGTGCCAAGAAGTGCTGCGCCTCTACCCGACCTTACCGATGAGCGGTCGTGAAGCGATTCGTGAAACGACCATCGCCGGCAAGAAAATTCCCAAAGGCACCACGATCGTGCTATGTCCGCAGTCTATCAACCGCAGCCCAGAGTTCTGGGGTAATACGGCGGATCAGTTCTTGCCGGAACGATGGATTGACACTGACGACAAAGGGAAGCAGACTCCCAATAAGCATGGGGGCGCCCCGACCAACTTTGCCCAGATAACTTTTCTTCATGGGCCTCGGGCGTGTATTGGGAAGGATTTTGCGAAGGCTGAATTTCGGTGCGCTGTTGCGGGGATCTTTGGTCTGTTCCGGTGTGAGTTGAAGAATCCGGAGCAACAAATTACTTTTGGGGGGACTTTGACTAGTCAGCCTCTCGAAGGTATGCATTTGAAGTTGTCCAAGTTGGAAGGGTGGGAGTAGTGCTGGGGGTTAGTTAGTACAGCGTAAAGGGGCAACTCAATGGATGTACATACAATTTGTATGATACAAAGCAGGTACTGTACCTCAATCCAGAGTTACAACTTTTCGCGAGGGGTCAGGGTAAATGATATCAACCATTGAACCAACCAACCAACCACTATATGTCATCCGCGTACATCAAAATTGTGAGTGTTAGCCGGTTCAATCTTATTGCTCTGAATGAACAAATTAATTCGATCGTCCAATTTGTAAGATAGCCAATGATTTCAACTGCCATTCTTCGTATCTCCTTCGAAAAATCCAAACAAGCTTAGTTCGTGGTGAGATTCGACGAAGAACATAGTAGGTCCGGTTTTTATTTAGCGTGCGAAGAAGCGTTGCATTTGCGCATTCTTGAATGCGTTTGGCATCAGGAGGTGAGCCGGTATCGTCTAGCAAATTGATCCATAGAAATAATGCCGCTTCCCAATCTGAATTTAGTGCTTTGGTGGTGGAGATTTGATTTTTTTGGAGCGGTGCGACCCTGAATTCGTCCATACATTTCACGGTACGATATGTCGAATTCTCGGGCCGACGGTTTAATTTGGGGGTTACACCTGCATGGTCAGCAGAAATAGCATCTAATAGGCGCAATTCCGGTTTATCGGGTTTTTATATCACATCTTTGTACAGTATGGTATGGAAGGTTGATGAAATTGGAGGGTTGCATAAACTTCAATTCCTCTGTGGCAAGCAGGGGGTTGGGTTGCAGGAAGAACACGGTACGGAGTACGGAGTTACACAGGAAATCTTGGGTGGGCTCTGAGCTTACTGGCTGGCACGGACCAGGGACATTGCGTTAGTCACCAATGTACTCCGTAAGTTAAGTTAACTAGAAAATATAATAACTAGCCGATATTGATCTGCAGAATAAAGAACGCCCCCCCTTATTTCTGCCGGCTTAGGTATTATGAACATCAAATATCCATTGGATATAGCAAATTAAATTCGTAGCTGTTGATCGGATATTTGATTGGCTAATATCATGGCAGTGGGTTCCTAAAACCATCCGCAGATGTTGGTCTTTCTGTAATTGGCCCTTACATGGCGCTTCATTGCAAGGAGTAACCTACATAGGTACGTACGAACCTATATAATTGATGGGAAGCGTAATAATCCACGCGGCACCCATAGGCCCTTCCGGAAGGTTGGATGAGAAAGAGGGAACACCCAAGAAAAGTGACGTTGAGATTGACTTGACATACTGAGTGTTGCTGCTGTGTACCGAGCGGGTAGTCGGCAAACAGCGCTCTTTCTACGTCCCCTACAATCCCTTAGTCTCAAAATGTTCATTCCTCAAGGTTCATCGTTAAGTTTTGCTCAAATGATGGGCCTTGCACCGAGCATGCGAATTTGCACCATTCCCACTACCGGGCTGATCCCTTCCAGAACGCTCTCGACCTCCATGTGCTCCCACTTCTTTCTTGATGGCCTCCATTTGCCTCACTCTGCTCTCCAATCACGACCATATAATCCTACCTGCCAGGGAGATAGCTTGCCGGTCGGAACTGCCGTATCAGCTGCCCAGACCATCTTGAAAGTCACGCCGAAGCCACCTCCAGGCGTCTCAGTGGACCCGTTAAGAAACGATGGGGAAGACCTCATGTTCCTGTCCAAGCATATTCGCCGACCGATGGGATCAGGCCACCCGGTGCCAGACCAGGGTGCCAACTATTACACTCGTAGCGAAGGCAAGCACATGCGACCCTTATTGGTCTTGCTTATGTCCCAGGCGACAGCTTTGGCTCCGAGAAAACACAATCCGGAGACGGATGGATCAATATCCGTCAACGACCCCCCTATTTCTCTGCCCGCCGAAGCAAAGTACGACTTCTCGTGCGACGACAACATCCTCCCGTCACAGCGGAGACTGGCCGAGATCACGGAGTTGATTCACACTGCAACCCTCTGCCACGACGATGTCATCGATAACGCTCTGACACGTCGTGCCAACAGCTCAGCAAATTTGGCATCCGGAAACAAGATGGCGGTATTAGCAGGTGACTTCCTGCTTGGACGCGCCTCGGTGGCGCTGGCTCGTCTACGCGACCCTGAGGCGATGGAGCTTATGGCGGCCGTGATTGCTGACTCAGCAGAGGGTGGGTTTATGCAACTGAGAAACACAGTGGAGGATGAATCCAAGCCCGTCTTTACAGATGACGCCCTCAATTACTACCTCCAGAAGGCCTACCTGAAGACCGCTAGTCTGATAAGCAAGTCTTGCCGCTGCGCTGCTGTACTTGGCCGGAGTGCTCCCGAGATCATCGAGGCCTCGTACCAGTACGGGCGCAATCTGGGATTGGCGTTCCAGCTGGTCGATGATGTATTGGATTATACCGCCACCGAAGCCGAGCTGGATAAACCAGCCGGTGCGAACCTCGAGCTAGGTCTAGCGACCGCTCCTCTTTTGTTCGCGTGGAAGAGCAACCCGGAGCTTGGTCCCCTGATTGGTCGCAAGTTCCGTGAACAAGGCGATGTGCAGAGAGTAAGTTTCCTCGATCAATCTTGATCAATTTTTGTCTTTTATCACGCTTATGCTGACCACAAACATATAGGCCTATAATATTGTCTACCGCAGCGACGGTGTCGAGAAGGCACGTACCTTGGCTCAGGACTACGCAGATAAGGCCATTGCTGCCGTCAGCGACTTCCCGGATAGTGAAGCCAAGTCTTGTCTGATCGAGATGTGCAAGAAGGCCATGCGCCGAAGGAAGTAACGATCTGTGGAAACATATAAACCTACGTTAATATGTTGATCTGCGTCCCTAATCTCGTCTGTTATTCAAAGGCTGTTTCCACGTTTTATCCTCAGTTTAAAAACAAGCAAAGAGGTCCTGCGGTGTTGAGGTACATAGACTCACAATCGAGGCTGCACCGAAGAAGTGCGACAAAATTCACAAAGGAATGTATTTTGAATATAGTGTTTTGCAGGCAATGTGAGGCCAAAAGATAATTAGTGCCTTCGATGGCCTACTTGCATAGGCCACTGCCCCAAGTTTCAGTGCAGTTTCCGGCGTATCTGGTCTTGAGGTTCACCACGCCTCTCACCCTGGATACCTTTCAGTTTGCTCCATAGGCATACATCACGGGCGGACCAACTGGGACGATACCGCGTAACCGATCAGGACTGGTCTCGGGCCCAAAAGGTGTCAGGGCCACTAGGTTGATATGACGCTTTCTCGGAACAGATTAGTATTACGTATAAGAATAAATGGAACCCTGTGGTCTGAGGCCTTTGATAAATACGTGAGTAGATTGCCAGGATACAATCTGTCGGGACATATCCTCCCGTCAGAATAAGCAAAGACATGATGTCCTTGCTTGGTGTACGTAATCGTGCTAAGCTACGGCTCCCGCCGTATGGGATTCAGGGGTATTGGAAGAAATACACATCTATCTACATGAATCAACTGACTTTTGCTTTTCGAGCAAGCACGCTGTCCACTCACATCTCTTGCCGTCACATTCTCATCGAATGGAAGTCGCGTCGGCTTCTTTGGCCTTAAGCCAGCATTATAGTGAAAATCCAGAAAACAGGGAGCACCGTCGACTCTGATGAGGTATCAAACCAGTCGAATGGTAGCAAGCACCTGTCACAAGCGCGCAGGCACACTTAGTGCTGGGCCAGTTAAGTAGGGAATGAGTCGAACCATTGGAGCGGAGAAAATGAGTGGATGGAGATACACGGTATGCAGACTGCGCATGGAGGCAAGATGGGACTGTCATAAAGGGGATGGGACCGTTGGAAACTGTTCTAGGCGGGGGCGAGATGAAAGGAGACCGGTGCTAATTGACAACTTGACCCATGCTTGTATCACCCTTAGTATCAGCCCCACATCAAGCAAGCAGAGCGACGAGGCGTACTCACATGCAACTTTGACGATCGTCAGAAGGGCCATAGAAGGAGGAACTGCGGCTGGTCAGCACATCGTAGATCAAATGAGAGCGCATAACAGGACCAGTGAGTCTTATGGGTGTTGACCTTGGTACAGGCATGCTGCAATCTGCGCACTTCATATTAGAAAGATGGAAGGACGGCCGGGACTATCGAAGTGTTGTATAAGTACGGAGTAGACCTTCTTCTTATCGCTCAGGGATTTCCGCAGGCTGGCGATTGTATTTATAGACGTCGCTCGCCTCCTTCTTGGTAGTTCCATGTCAACGTTGCAGTATATTTAGTATCTTGGCGTAGCTTTTCTCACTACGTGAGTGTGTATTACACGCTTTTCAACGGTAGGCAGGTTAAGATAGTGTCGAGGATAGTGGAGCAGTTACTTACAGCTGCCTCCTATTGGTTTCCTTCGTCCCCCGCCTTTCTTTGTGTTTTGTATGTAAATTACGGGGTTCCGAGCCAACACTTTCAAGTCACTCTCGAGTATCCCATGGATCCTCTAAGACACGGAAGAATTGATCCCATCCACATATCAACTATGGACCAACTCTGCAGATGTGTATTTAACATACCCTCTGCCTGCCACTCATTTTATCTACAATCAATCAATTCAATCTGTCAATCATACTGATTGGTTCCCCTTCCACTAGAATCCCCACTCATTGCAATACTAGCCATTATGATTTAGCTTGCTCAATCAGTAGATGTAGTGACCAGAACGGATGTAAATTACAGTAAAAAAAAGATGAATCAGCATTTTATCCATCTAAAATAGGAAATATCTTGGCAGAATTATGCAATTCAGGTTCCGTCAGGTTCGAACCTGAGTCGAACCTGATAGAGTCGCGATCCGACTCAGGTTCTACAAGTTGGAAACTGAGAACCTCAGGTTCAGGTTCGAGGTTCCGACCTTTGGAACCTGAATCGGACCATGCCGAGGTCTAGCCATGAATCCAGCACGTGTCATTACATTCTACTGTTTGACCGTTGACCAGTAAAGAGTAACAATCACTATACTTTATGGCTGTACAACACAGACAACACAATACTGCGGCCCCGTAGGGCTCCAAAAGGAATAAATGAATGCGAATATGAATATGCCCTGGCATATTCATATGTTTTGTACAGTAATCGGAGTATTCTCGGAAAAGCAGTGCTGTAACACACTAAACAATCCCTGAATAGAGGTCGTTCTGAACGGGAGGGACAGAAAGTTTTTCAATCAAATCAATCGATCGCTAGGATGGTTTAATTGGCCCTCACGAGTACTAGTCGATACCGATATCCTGAAGTCCCACATACTCTTCAACATGACAACTAATTGTCATACAAAAAGAGTAGGAAATAGTCCTCCCTAAGAATACACGGATGTAGGTACCTGCTCAGTGCGGTGTTTTTCGGGAGTCGTCAGCGTAGAACAAGGCTGATTCCTCAACAGGCTTAGCGGGGTTGAATGAGGTTTCGACTCTCACTGGATATATTTCAGATAGCAACTGATCTTGACCTTATCATCCACCCTAATGAAAAGCCCAGTTACCTGAATGGCCGCTCACATTTCGCGGCTCAACTGTCGCAGCAGGCGCATTGGCCACCAATGGTGCAACACTGGGGATGTCCGTCAGAGCAGCAGTAAATGTTGTCGCACGGATAGCTGCAAAGCCAACAGTCTGAATCGAGGTCTGTCCAATCATCTGGTCAATTCCCTAGGGGCTATAGGAAGATAAATGATGGGTAGACTAACTGTTTCGGTTCATGAGGCGAGAGACTACCTCTCGTGCACTCGTCGACCGCTTAGCTGAAGCTTCATCTGAGGATTGATGTCCAGACACTGCAATTTGTCATCAGTAAAGGGGGGTTTGCTCAATCGATATTTTCCACTGGGTAGTGAATACCGCTATCCGCAGAGATGCCCTCCTTCTTCACCTGGGAATAATCTGGGTTCTCTTTCGCAGCAATGCTGGGTGCCAGAAGCAAAGCACATAGAACTATCTTCAGAGATTAGGTAAAGATAAATAGCGCACATAACCAGTGGATGGAAGCATACGTAGCTGGGACAGCAAATGCATCTTGGTTATAACGGTGTTGAATGATGTGTTATTCAAAAAGCACAAAAAGTGTTGAGGATTTGCCGAAGCAAAAGACTGGAAAAACAGGGATATATCTATATCGTAAAGAATCAAGATATCGGTCCCGAATTGATATGTAAACAAAGATTTTCCCTCCCTTACAGTCCGCTTCGTTTACAAGGAGGGGCTGCAGGCAGAGGAAGCTTTGTATAACACTGGTTTTGGAACAGAGCAGTGCGAGGAAAGAAATAGAAATAATATATGAACTGGTGATGATCATAGGCAGAGGGCTAGTGCAGATCATTCGTTCGTCGCAAGGGAACATAATTGAGACGCATAAATATGTGATGTTGGCCAATGATCGAAAAATACGAGTGGTTTATGCTCCATCGACATGTAAGGGCTGTCTTGAATTGTGGTTGGCATGCAGGTTCGTCGAGGGAAATCCGCCGTGTGGAAATCAATCTGACTCAATACGGAATTAATTTCGTTTACGAAACTCTATTGTCTACTCTATCGACCGTCGATTCACGACACGTAGATGACGCGTACTGGTCCGCTCGAAATCAGTTTCACCACCTTGTTCTCTCTGGTTGTTCTTAAATATTGGCAATACCCACCTCATTCTATATCCAGCCTAGATCATCTTGTACTGTCGAATAGGGAAAGGGCTATGAGCAAGGGTCTGTCTTCGATTAAGTATATCAGGCCTAGGCCTCTCTTCGCCGCTGTCTATGCCTAATATCTCTTGAGACTCTTCTCGGAGTTTTTCGGCATGTCCAGCCAGGTCATGCAGCTAACCGATCAGCAGAACTACTTTTGCACTTCCCGAGATCGTTTACGTGCCCTCTTTGGTGATATGCCCGCATAAATTGCTTTTCGGCATTCTGTTCCATGCGCGCGCATTCCGGAATTCGAGGCTGACCTCGAAGGCCCAGCTACGGAAACTATTTATCAGCAAAGGCTGTGAGCAGCTCCTAGTGCCCTTAGACCCGAACAAGTCCGATTGGTATATCTTCTGTAAGACGGACCTAGTCAATGGCGCTCCGACCATTCAGCGGACCGTACAGATGTCCAAGTCGACCATATCCACTTTGCTGGTCACCTTCGGGGAGATCCGTGGGTGGAAAGGGGCGTGCCATGCCCATCAGTTCCGTTATGGAAGTGGTAAAGTGATCAACGAGAGCGGTAAGTACTTCTATAGAGCCCATTAATTCTTCTCTTCCCTCTGTTCTGTCAGTGGCTGATGTAGTCTGTAGGGTGGGTAAGAAAGGAACAACACATATTGATCATGAAGCATGCCAGCCCCCGGACCTTTCTCGAGCACTATCATCCTCTGCAACTCGACACCGATATGATCCGGGTTATCTATGGCCTCGACCCGGATGTGGAACTGATGCGAGCCGTCCCGCGGCAAAGTCGTTGGCGAGACACACGACGCCCACGCTATTTAACTGATCAACAGAGGGCGCAAATTGAGGATCACCCCGAGTTGGAAGAGGCCCGGCGCAATCTTAGCCAGACCCGTGCCTGATACGAGAAGACTCAACAGCCCGCACTGCTCCCTCGGATCCAGCAACGGGAGAAAGAGGTGAGAAACACGCGAAAACGGTTGCACAGGAGCTTACGGCATCAAATCCGAGAGAATTTTGATGAAGAGCAAGTATTTCTTAACATCGAGGCGCAGCTGTCTGGTACAGTGGTCAAGGAAGAGAGCGCGAATAGGTCATCCTTGGAGGTCACTATGCCACCCCCTTCAGTTGCATCTAGCGCAAAGTCTTCTTTCCTACCCAATCTCCAACTCGTTAGAGGATGAGTCGAACCGGCGGGATACGGGTACTATAGCTGTCGTGCAGTATTGTGACGTCCTTGAAGGAGGTCCGTTAAGGGGCCGGCCTAGGCGGAAGGCCTCTGAATCCACCACGTCGGCTAGTCCCATAACCAGCTGCAGGATGCAGGGCAGACCCAAAATGTTGCCAACTCATATAACCGTATCCAGAAGTCGCCCCACCACCCATTTGGGAGTTGGTGCTCCACACACACATTGCCAATTTCACTATTGCTTCGATATTCTTTGCTCAGAACTCCCTTCTTGGATATGATTCCATCACAAAAACCATCTCTTGCTGCTCTCTAACCATTTGGCTATTATCATGAGCAATTTGAACGTCGCCAGATGCCCTCGTCGCCGGTGATTCACCAAGGACTGGCCTCACTGCCGCCGCTTCCCGTTGTGCTTTCCATATTGTAGCAGCGTTTTCTCGCGCCTCGATCTCCTTAATCCTCCGAACTGCTTGTCCTATATAGGCAACACCATCACCTCCCAGGCGCTTGCGTGACTTGGGCTTCCTTTGTTCTGTGAGGTTGTGGTGAAGACGATTGTTGGTGGCCGTGAGCTCATCAAGATACTCGGTAACGTTGACAAGCTGTCCCCTTGCTGGCGTAGGAGATGTTCAAATTTCCGAGTATCCCTCTTCTCCTTAGGTGTTCACCTAATCTTCCCCACCCTTCGACGAATCGTTCGAATAGTCCCCGGGACGTTTACTGAGCTGTGAGATGGTGTATGGAATGGACTAGATACTGCTGGCTCCGGCTCTGGCGTCTCGCCGAAGAGTTGGAACCAGGCGAGCAAGCATCGACATTCTTGTGCGACATCTCAGCTACGCCACCAGAAATTGAAAACCAATCAGTTTTGTATTTGCCTTAAGCGGAGCGAATAGACTATTATGATTGGAGCTTACCTGGTGTTACACGGCGCTGATCCATGGATAGCACTATAGACCCTTGCTTCCTTTTTTCCTCCAGTGTTGTAACCTAGGCAAAGATATGGCGGGCCAACATTCAAAAATAAGCAATGATCTTGCGCGAGGCCGAGTTCCTGAGGGCATTTCTCTAAATAGCTCAAAATTACATTAAATGATTGCTCTCGGGTACAGATCTGCTTCTCAGCTTTGACAGCTCTTTCAGCTTTAGGGAAACCTTTAGGTCAATATAAATAGAAATTGCGGTGTAGGGGTACCCACCATGACGTTTCATAAAGAAATAAATTGTTCCACCTTTCATCCCACACGCTTGCTGTAGACTGGAACATCATCTGGTCAGTGGATGTCCCCCATTTCCAGATGACTTTATGTAGACTAGGGTCAATTCATGCTCTAATTCATCAAGCTCATGAGGTAAGCTTGGGGCTTGTAAATAACATTTAGCTCTGCAAACCTTGTTTGATGTATCTGATAGTGTCGGGACATATCCTCCCGTCAGAATAAGCAAAGACATCATGTCTTTGCTTGGTGTACGTAATCGTGCTAAGCTGCGACTCCCCGCCGCATTGGATTCAGGGGTATCTTGGAACCTGACCTGGAACACACATCTATCTACTTGAATCAAATCGACTTTTGCTTTGGAAGCACATAAACAGTCCACTTAACTGTGTACACAGTACCTAGCTGGTGATACCAACAGATAGGGATGTGCTTCTAAGTTGCTCCTCCTCAAAGAGAATATTGATACGTCAAAAACAATGCTGTCGGAAAACAAGTTTGATGAGAAAGGCATATGAGGGATGTGCGACGCAGATGTATGCGTGGGCATTCACATCCGGGAGACGGGTCAGGTACATATGTTGTCCGCAGATGCTTCCGGATTTTGGGCTTTTCTTACTTCACAATTAGTATGTTGCAGAGTCTTGAAGTCTTCACCCAACAAGTCCAATAGAGTCCGTGGCCCCTCCGTTCCTATGATTGAACTTACTCCCGAGGGAACCAAAAAGTTCCTCGGGCTAATTTGCTAATAAATGATGAGAGATAGCTATCCGAGTGTAATGGAGACCGGTATGTCTATTTCGCTGATGCTTTGGTGAGAGAGAGCTTCTAGAGCACGTTCCCGTTACAACTGCTTGCAAGGATTGGGGATATTCCCCAGCACTTTGATCAACACCCGAAGTATAGGATTTGCCTCCCCCAAAACGGCCTCCAGGCGACCTATTTCCTCCTGGACTTTATCCTGCAATTGATAAATCAAACGCCATGTCTCATGTATTGCCCCGGCCTTTTCTATGAGGTCCAAAATCTGTAATTTGTTTTCCAGCGGCAAATTCGGGACTTCTGGTGTGTCTCTCCGATCTAAGAGCCCAATCACGATATCTTTGCGTACCGGATCTGCACAGCATCGGACAATTGGATACGAAAACTTCCCCTCGTCCAGGTCTTCACAGAAACCTTTCTTCTTCGCATAACCTGCTTCCTGGAGGTTCAAATAATCGTCGCGTACTTGATACCATCGACCCAGAAGCTGCGCTAGGACGGTAAACTCCGTGCTTTGGCTCAGGCATCCATCATCTTGCGCAAGCGTGAGCATCAGCCGAAGAAGCATGTGGAACATGGCGCCAGTTTTGTGGTCGACCATTGCCAAATATTCTTCTTCGGTGGGACACTGCATGGTGGACCTCCACTTTAGCTCCCAGCTTTGACCTAGGAAAAGTCTTTCCAGCTCCTCGAGCAGCACTGTCATCAGGGCAGGATTGGAAAGTGCATGAACCTGTCCTGCTACTCGGACAAACATATATGTAGCACTGTTGATAGACTGGGCGTTGCCAAAAATAATATGCGTGGCTGTACTTCCTCGACGGAGCAACGACCCATCCTGGATATCATCGAGGATAAGTGACGAATTATGAAGATCATTCACAATCTCTTTGATTGTATTCAGCGCTAGACATGGGAGACCCAGCCATAGGTTGAATGCGTCGATCAGTTGTAACCGCACGTTCTTTGAATCCAACGATTGAATATAGCGGATAGGGCCCTCTAACGCAGTTTGGCCTAGCTTTGAGGTTGCAAAGCCTGATAGATTTCCGCTGTTCGTTTTGCTCGAACGCAGTCGCTCAGCTATGTGTAGCGTTGATGAATGTGTCAAGGTGTAACTGTTATCACAACCGCCATTTAGACTTGTATTGTTGGCTTTCGCATATGCAGACGGGTTCTGTAAACAATTATACCGAGGACATAGACAGCACCAGTAGTGGTAGCCGCCGATTAAAGGTGCGAGGATATTCACCATCAATTTCAGATGGGATGGAAGATTGGGATGGGCCCGGCAGAAGCTGTCACGCATTTTCAAAAAATCAGATTCCTTCTTTAGAATATCCTGCTTCAATTGTACCACAGCGTCGTGTTCCGCGATCCCGCTTTTCATGTAGAACAAGACAGCATTTGTAACTCTGACACGAGGCTGGGAGCTCTCCTTTCTCCAGCTGTAAAAGTCATTAGTCAGCAAGGTTGGCCTGGCGGTTGCTTTGAAGAGAGGCTCCATCATGTTGTAGTCTCCCTCGCTTAGGCGGATGCCCGCGCCGAAGGCAACCTGCCAGAAGGCCACACTATGATTAGTCAGTTAGTTTCTTCTGGCCAAAGAAGGAATGTCTCTTACAGGGTGCCTGAATCTTTAATTCGATGTTCGAGATACTCGTCGAGGGTGGTAAATTGCGGCATCGGATGTGCGTCAACAACCTTTAGCCATTGGTCTGAGTAGCTTTTCATCATATCTAGACCAGACTGTAGATCAATATCAAGGCACTCGAGGATGACAGCCGAGTAGATCTTCTTCATAACCAGGGACTTTCTCGAACCATCTCGAGTCTCAGTTCTGGTAGGATCCACGGCGTAATCAAGGCGCTCATGCACCGGAGCCGATGAAGCAATATCTTCCAGCTCCGTGTAGTCTTGAAATCATTAGATGGAGAGCATATACTCCTAGAGGATACTCTCTCTTACCATCATGTACAAATCCCAGCTCCGTTGTATAGGCGGTCAACTCCATCCGCTCCGGGAGAACTTCTGGGTAGGCCAAGCTAGTCATGTTACCACCAGGGGAAACAAGGCAGGGAGCATAATTGTGTCTTTGAAGATCAAAAGCTCTCGCATAATCATTGACCGCTCGTTTACTTCCGGTATTTGCAAGTTCATCCCCTATGTTGAGTCGGGCTTGAAAGGCCGTAAAGCAGCCAGCTTCTCTCATAGCATTCTGGCTCACGGGCAGCGAAGAAGTAAACGGTACATCTGGGAATGGAATGGCTTGGTCGTCCATCATTAAAACTTGGATTTGGAGGAACAATAACACTGGTTAGGCGTAATACGTGACACCATTCGTTTTGTGGATATGTCTGATTAGTTTGTAAATGACGCTTGTCCCAAACACACTCCCGCCTTCTTTATAGAGTAATCCTCATGTATTCGAATTGACACTCACTTAACTGTTATTTTTAGCACAAGGTGCTATCCTATAGACCGCATCGTGTGATTCATGCAGGCTCTGATGCATTATCATTCTGATGGCGTTTTGACAAAATTTCCGATATGTAACTTGTCCAATCTTTTATGCAGTCGCGCTGAGAGAACTAGAGTACGTAAGCACGTAAAACCAAACGCGGTAGGCACTGTAAAAACGATATTATGGCGACCTCGTGTAGATTACAGATCCCAAGGAACCTTTGGAAGGCCCAACCCAATGGGTTGAACTGGCTCGCGGGTAGGGAACCACTTTTAAATGCAATCTAGTAGGTATGATTTCAGGACATTCAAGTATAGCCAAAGTTACCCAAAACCTCAAGCCTTCATCTTGCGTATGACTCTCATCTAAAGCATGAAACCACCACATGAATCACAAATTGTGTAACTGGTGACGTCAACAGGCATTGAAACGTATTCATCATATTCCTCACCGATATTGATCTACAGGAATGAGATCCCATGGGCCTTCGGCTCGTCTCAGTCTGTGTAACCAATGACGTCAACGAGCATGAGAATAGTTTTCAAATCCTCACCAAAATTGATACGCCGTGACAAACACTTTTGAAACCGGAATGTATCCCTCAATTATCAGTTAACTCCTAATTTTAGCCTACCCCGGAGCCGTACTTGAGGTTCAAGGAGCAACAAAGCTCCCAAAGTGGGCTTGTACCTGGAGCCGATGAGGCCGTCTGGGGTCAGGATTCCCTCAAGTACGAATGAAGAAAGCTTAGGGGAAGTGTCATATAAAGTTATCCCCCCTTTCTTTCACAGCTGTGACAGTCTCACGTATACGAAGTACGGAGTACATTGGGGCGGAGAGTGTCTTCGGGGTGAACACAGACACACGATGTGGCGAACCCACATAGCTTATCTAGTTTCCCCGTAACTACAGTATGTGGATGCTCTCATGTGGCATCCCTGTTGGATGATAGTCAGGACGTTTTATGTAAGCTGGTAAACATCTGGACGCATTCCGCCCTGACGGGCCACTCCCCCACGCCAGATAGCAAACCCCTACTATGTTGACTTCGATTTGCATCATTCGTCTGCTGAATACTGATTTCAACAAGCGATGGATGAAACAATCGCCGAGCTACAACATCAGCTAACCAGCGACTCAGGTTTACAAACACCCCCAATGGAGGTCTTCTTACAGACACGACATGCTTTGAAATCAACCAAGGAGAAAGACAACCGATGTGATCAGTAGTGAGGGGTGCCAATGTCGTGTAGCCCGACCCGCTGGCGCTCCCTGACCGACATGTCGTCGATTCGCCGGCCGGTCAACCCTGGCAGGATACCCATGATACGAGAATAGCCTCATGTCAGAAAACTTCATGACACCGGGATACTACCGAAGCCCTTATACTACGCAAGCTAACTGTCGTCCCTCCTTATCCCTCTTGCTCGAGGATGAGCCTAATCCCGTAAGCCGATATCGACTAAATACTGTACCACTGCTCCAAGAATCTGAGTAGGATGAAGACAAGATCTACGATGAGGATGCGCTACACTATCTCTACTACTCCGTAGAATAGCGGGTTACCCTTAACAAGGCCAAAGTGAAGGATACGGAAGAAGACCTTGTATTAATCCCGAGCACCTACTAGCCGTTATTCCTGGAACAGAAGCTACAAGCTGTCCTTCAAAAGAAGTATCCCATAACAAGGGGGTCAGAGTCGATAACACGGCGATTACAGTGTTACTCAAATACAGAATGATTGTTCCTAGCGATCTGACTAAGCGCTTTAACAAGACCGAAATTGTTTTGCAGAATGACCCACTGCGCTATAGATATGGAATTCAATAGTTTTGACAGTAGATGATCGACCAGATCACATTGTTATGACCCCTGCAACAGCCAACGACTTGAGGGGCTGGTGAACCAACGATGGGCCACGAAGAGCCAACTGGTTCCCAGGAGGTATGCATTAGCTCCAAGACAAGATCCAGTTCGACCTGCTCTCGGAGCAAAGGCTGAGCAAGGCCGGCCACTAAACCCAAAGGGTGCAAGGGATGCAGGAAACAGCTACCAATTTCCCGTTCACAAGACTGCTAATGAGAAACCATTGATCGTTGATTTTTAAACATTCCCGAAAATTTGGGGGTATCAGGCTATTAGATAATTATTAGGGCTCTCAAGGTAAATTCCACGCTACCAAGAATTTGTGCTCCGATCGGATCTCTTGATGATTTACTCCGTATTATCCCTGGATTACCAATGCGGTGATCGAACTGCATATGAAGTAACCGACAGGGTGGATCTTGACCGAATGTAGAAGGAAATACCTCCTAGTCAATGTCTTCAGGGTCGATAGCCCCTATAAGTGCGTCATAATTGACGATGGTTATTATAATTAAATATCGAGAAAGGCTTTAGTTTCTCCAGCCAGCATGCCTTGGCCCCTTGATCTTCCTTTTCCCGGTGCCCACAATGTAGAATATTTGGGAAACAGAAGGTTATATTCTCCCCTCCGTCCCCTCTCATCAGGCTCCTGCCCATGGTCCTTCGGGGAATCTTCCCAAGAAAACCTTCCAGTCAACGAGGTTGGTATCGTGAACCCTTTATCTCTCTCAGCATATCTGACAAGAGCCTAGTCTTTTGTTCAACTCGAAGATGAAGTCACTAGGCCTGATTCTATCTCTGTTTATCGTGGCGGCTTCGGCTTGTTCGAAAACCGGTGTAGTCACGTGGTTTAGCAACGACAAAGGCTATGGATTTATTCGACAAGATGGTAGTCTAGATGATGTATTCGTTTCCTACAAGAACATTGTTGGGGTAAGATCTTCATTGTGGAAAAGACCACTCTCAAAAGTTATACTACATAACAAAGGCTGATTTGTTTTAGGAAGGTTATATATCACTTTCTGAGGGGCAAAAGGTTTGCTTTGAAGTAGTGAGGGCAGAAAAGGGGCTTCAAGCTACCGATGTGCAGCTTGTTGGGGAAGAGGAAACTACTGAAGAATAGTAAACATGGATTATTTGGTAGCAAGTCCTAGTTAAACATGCGTATTTCTGTGGTATGTCGCGAAATATTTGGCCCGTAGGACAGTTTCCTTCACTTGCTTTGATTTAGGTTTCCCTATTCAGTTAGGTTTCCCTGTCCCATTATGCGAATGGAAAGGCTTTGCCTATTGTACTTCTACAGCTAATGTACTGTAGTTTCAGGTTTTAGATCAACTGTGGTGAAGCTATGTTAGTACCGACATTAGATCTTCTCACCGTGCTTGTGGGTAAGTTGGCCATAACAGTATTCATGATCAAGTATGTCTGCGCAGGATTGCAAAAAATGTCGGAGGTTTTGGGGATGAAAGGGCCATACGCCTGGGTTTATAAGGGTCTCGCTGCAGAGAGCTGCAGGGTGTATATGTTGTCAATTTTCTTGCAAGAATGGTTCCAAGAGATCCAACAGAGCTTCAGTGCTCAGGTGGTTGAGGCTTGTTTCATCAAAGTGCCTTTCAGTCAAAGCCCGTCGAATGTTTGTCGAGTTGATACCAGTAGAGCGAGGCCTTGCATATTGCAGATAGTAACCAATCTTGCCGGGAATACTGTCATCTAGACCCTTGCACGACCACAGCACAATCTCTTCAGGGCCAGCACCCGTGTTATCTAGCTGGAATCAGTCCTCTATAACTGAGCAAAAGAGCAGTATTCGGCACAATATTTGCACTGACCATCTTCATAGCTAGTCATGCAACAGGTCCATTCCCCGAATCCATTCCACATTGCTGGCTTGCCGTTCGGAAGAAATTCAGTAGCAATATGTCTGGATTTGTTTGTGACTAGGACCCTTGCGAGCTTATATGGCTTTAACATGAGTGGATCTCTTGGATTCACTTTATCCGGTCCAATGAGGTTGACGAATACCGTCTTGAATCCGTCCGCCTCTGTCAACCGAACCAAGGCCTCCATAAATGGTTTGAAGGGGTACCAAGTGCTTGTCCACACCCAGACCTTTCCCTTGGGGATCGAAGGAATAGCATCCATAATATTCGCTCTGCGACTCTGTTGAAGGAAGAAGTCTGGGTGACTGTTGGCAATCTTATTCCTCAGGTGAAAATCCTCGGTCGGTAGGATGATGATTGCAATTGCCGCTATTTCTGGCCTTAGCCCCGATAACAACGCATTTATGTGTCCTCGGTGCGGGGGATTGAACGAGCCTCCGTACACCAAAATGAGGTTCTCACGTTCAGGTTGCAAGGTCCCTTCTAAAGGCTGAGTGTTGCTGAGTTCAGGAACTGAAGCTAGACGAGCCTCCTTCAAGGCCATTTGGAAGTAATGTTTGAGAGACATGTCTATCGTCTGGATGATCTTAAAGGTGGCGTGAACCGTAGGTGAAAACCGTGTTGACAGGGGCTTAAGATTCAATAGATTTTTATTGAGAATAATAGGGGAGGGCACTCTGCGCAATGTTGGAAACATTACTCAGCTCTATAATTTGGCTGCCACGTCATGGTTTTTTACGAGAAGGAGCTTTCATTCGACAACTCCACCTCCGGGACTACTTTTTATATGACATAATTTTCCTTACCTACACCGCCTCGGATCCGACGCATCCAGTTACCTGAACGGAAGTGGCTTGCATACCTGCAGGATTTGATTCTCTGTCCGGGCGCCGGAGAAGGTGGTGGACGCCCCGAAGTGACTAATCTCTATACAGTGGATACCAATTACTCCTACACTAGCCTTAAATGGAGCGAATAGGATATAGCGGATTGGAGCTTGCTAGGATGGTTTGTTAAGAAGGTCACACAGTCAATACTAGCGAAAATGGGTTCCAAATAAAGTAACAATGTAAGATTGATCGCAAAGAACTAGAATAACTACATGAACGAGTGTCCTTATATATATCCCCTGCTGCTAGGTCGTAGATCTATGGGTAGACAGAGGGTAGAAACTTCGTAGATGGTATGCTGAGTTTCCAGCACCAAGAGTCACTGAGGCAAAGTTCCTGGGAACGGTTGGCTCTCGGTAGCACATCGTTGGTTAAACAGCCCGTCAAATAGTTGGCTGTTGCAGCGGTCGTAGCAATAAACTCTTACCGCCAAGAACACAGGAGGATCTTCGCATGGGTTGTCAGTTGGAGTATTGCGGACATACTGATGGTAACCGGCCCCTTACAAATATTACATATTTTTCGGACCCCCGCTCCGCGAGGGTCCGCCACCTCAACGATATTACCCACCTCAAACGATCTCGCGTTTTCATATATTCAACCCCCCAATTTTAATGCGATTTAATCAACCGAAGCAGTGCGATTTAGAAGATAATTAATGTACCGAAATAAAGAACTCTGATTGGCCAATACAGAAATCCACCCTATTTTTTGATGAAATACCCCTTCGCTTTGCAAACCCTCTTCAACTCCGGCATGACCTCACGCTTGTAGTAGGGTCGCAACTTCATGAGAGCCCTCAGGTCATCACCCCTTTTAACAATTCGCTTCATACGATCAACCTGGCTAGAGTGCACTATCCCAGTCAATTTGGAAGCTTTTCGCGAGCGATTTTCGCGTGCGTATCGCTGCTCTCGTAGGTATTCCGAATTCTCGATGTTCTGCTTCAGTTCCGCTACAAGATGCGCGAAATCGGTCGCAGCTTTCGAAAGCTTTTTAATTAGGCGACGAGAGGGTTGTTGCATACGATCAATCTTATCCTCCAGCCGCTCTTCTAGTCTTTTCACCTGCTCAGTAGTCTTTGGTGTGCTAAGATCTGACGAATCCTGGCTAGCTACGGATGATAGGGGGCTTGGTGTATTATAGCCAAAATCGCGCCCTGAATCGACTAGGGAATCAATAATTAGACTAGGATTGATAGGCCAACGGCCAGTCAATCGAAATCCAAGCTTGATTGTAGCAGGTTTGAAGGTCTTCTGCCGAATCTGCGCGATCGCACCAAGGAAATCGTCTTTTGTAATCTTCTCGTAGCCGCTTACTGTAGCATCGTATACCCACTCGCTATGCCAGTGCTTATAAGCACTGAATACACCCACATCTAGCGGTTGAAGTAGATGGCTTGAGTGAGGAGGAAGGAAGAATAGGATAATGTTATGATCCTCGCAGTTTTTGACGAATTCGTATGTAAGATGCGATCCGAATTGGTCACAGAGTAGCATACGATGCGTACCCTTAGCCGAATCCTTGGTAAGCTTGTTGAATAGCTGTATCCACTGCAGGGCTAGCATGTTATTAAGATAGCCAGTTTCAGTGACAGCGATCCTCTCATCGCCTATGATTTCAAACCAGCGTAGTAGTAGAAGCTTCGCGCTTAGGATTACTACTGGAGCGATCGTAGATCCCGTAGCTGAAACAGCTTCAATAACAGTCGCATATTCGCGATTAGTACTGAAGCCGCCAGAAATCTGGCGCTTAGGCTCGCGTGTGATAATCCACTGATCTCTACCAACACCAATATTAAAGCCGGTCTCAGGGGATGGCCAAGGTGCTCGAAGCACTGACCAAGATCAATGCCGACACCGAACGTCTGAACCAGCGAATTGACACCATTGAAAAGACAACGAACGCCTTATCGACAACTTTGTCTACCTCTGCGGCAGATTCGGCGGCAGCGTGGCGCAACTTCCGAGCCAGAGACTGGCAGCGCGGCCTGGACAAAGCAGCCGCACCGAATACCCGCGGTAACGGCACATCGTCTCCCGGGATACCTGAAATCGAGCTCCGTGAGGACCGAGAGGTGATAGTGAAGGTGGGTCCTAATCGGGAACAGGTCCAGGCTCTATCACCGAAGGAGCTGGTGGAGCGGGCAGAAAGACAAAGAATGATGGTGGCCCGACAGAAGAACTCTGCCGCCCTATCTGGAGGGGCTATCTTCGTGGCAGCTCGGAAACTGCCTTCAGGGGATGTGGTTATGGTGGCCAACAGTGCTGCGGGGGCTGAGCTCCTCCGTAAGCATACTGGATGGTTAAAGGCATTCGGGCCAGGTTCCGTGGTACAGGAGCCGTCGTGGGGCGTCGTGGCATACCACATCCCGGTGAAGTCGATGAAGATTACCCCGGAGACGATGGCTGCAGTCGCAACCGACCTGCTTAAACAGAACGACTGGGGCGAAGGAGCCAGTATTCAGTATCTTGGCTGGATGACGCGACCAGGGGTACGGGCAGAGGGCTCACTCCTGATCGAGTTCACCAGCCCAGTCGTGGCCAACCAAGCTATCATCACTGGCGTCGTCTGGGGGAAGCAAATCCACAATGCTGTGCGCTTCTGCCGCGAGGGGCGGACGAAACTATGCAGAAAATGCCAAAAGCCAGGGCATATCCAGTCACACTGTTCCAACGACTACAAATGTGGCCACTGTGCCGAGAGGCACCCGACCTGGGAGTGCCTTTCGACACGGGGGCAGGTGATACCAGTGAAATGTTCCAACTGCGGCGGCGGGCATCGCCCGATCAGCCGGGAATGCCCGGTGAAAGCCGAGGCAATGAAAGAGGCAAAACAGGCATTGGCCGACTGCCCTACATATCACCGGATTCCACTGCACTTCCGTACCAGAGCCAGCGGAGACAAAGCAACACCTCAGATCAGACCGGACCCTGCCGGAGAGGATGGCCTGGATGCATCTATACACGCGCCGGAGGAGCCGGAAGGGGCAGAAACTCCTCAACACCCTCCACAGGCTATAATCGATCTGGAACTCGAACCAGCGAGGACAGAGACGTCACCCCAAGTGCTGGTCGAGCCAACAAAGCCCAAGAGAGGCCCGGGTCGCCCGAAGGGTTCCAGGACTAGACCCAGGGATCAAGCGCCGCCGTCCACGATGGTATCGGCAATCCGCCGGCCGACAAGGATCCAGACTACCTCTCAAAGAGCCGAAGAGGACATCATGGTGTTCAAAAAACGCCGCATGGGAGAGCCGGAAGACACAATGGACGAACAGCCGGACGACCGCAATTGGTTCGACATCCATCTCCCGCCAGACGCCCTCCCACAGGACGTCCTCGCACAGGAAGACCCTCACCAGGACGACCCTCACCAGGACGACCGTCACCAGGACGAGCTCGTAGACGAGTTCATCCGGTTCACCAACGATGTCACAACTATCAACGACACCGATATCACACCAGAACCCGGTCTGGAGGATCTAGACCCAGAGAGCCCTGAATACCGAAAACTCATCACTCTTAAATATAACCGAGCCCGAGCTGTGCTAGTCAGATCATCTCCTCCGGTGATCATGACCGATGCACCCACAATCGAAGACACAAATGACGAAGTATGGCACGAGGCCAGCGAGCGGAGTGATGATGAACAACCTCCCCAATGAAGTCATTTGAAATACTCCAATATAACGTGCACAAAGCGTGGCCTGTGATGGCCACGTTTCTCAGGGACAAGAAGGTTCTGGCGACGGATGTCATCGCGGCGCAGGAGCCATGGAAGAACAAAAACCAGCACACGACCCACCAACCAGCAACTGCAGCATTCCAACTACTCTATCCCGCGAAACAGACCCCTCGGGGACGACGTCCAATTCAGGGCCAAGAACAAGATACAGGTCCTCTTCAAGCCGGTGTATGCCTCTTTTTGTCCAAAAAGATTGACCCATCCACTTGGTCATGCCAGGTGATTTCGCAGGACTACCAACTCCTGAAACTTAGAAGGGCTCATCTAGGGAAGGACTGGACCGACCTATTTGTGCACAATGTGTATAATAGACCCGGCAGCAACACCCTGGCTCAGTTAAATCATGAAATGTCTAAGCGCCCCCTCGTGGAACACATCGTGATGGGAGACATGAATGCACACCACCCAGCATGGGGAGGAGCGGGGACCAAGATTGATGATGAAGCGGAACAACTGCTGGAAATCATGGATAGACACAATCTGGAACTGATCTCGGAGGAAGGAAAAGCCACTTGGACTCGAAACGACCAGGAATCGGTTATTGACCTCACACTTATCAGTTCGACCCTTACCAGCAGGCTCATCCGCTGCGAACGAGCGGACGACGTGGAACATTCGTCCGACCATTTCCCTGCCAGAACGGTGCTTGGCATTGAAACGCCGCTACGCGAACAAAAGAAACGGAGAAACTGGAATGCCACTAACTATGTTACACTGATTCAGAAGATCGAGGAAGGGCTACAAGTGAGAGACCTATCTCGAGCAGACCCGGCACAAATCGAGTGCCAATGTGAGACACTAGTGGATGTGGTCCAATCAGCAATTGATGCTTCAACCCCATGGGCAAATCCGTCAGTATGGTCGAATCCAGATTTCGACGACGAATGCAAGGCCGCTGTCAAGGAAGTCCGTCGACTACGACGCAAGCACACAAGGACAAAAGACCCCTACGACTGGATGCAATATTCCCAGGCACGCAATAGAAAGACACGCCTCGTCAAAAAAGCACTGTCTACAGCGCATCGTCGCCGGGTCCAACAGGTCATCGAAGAGGGCCCACAGGGAATGTGGCGCCTTGCTAAATGGGCAAGAAACCGCAACGGAGCCTATGAGAAAGGCCGTACCCCCTCGTTAAAGGTTCAAGGCCCAGAAGGACGGGACGAACTTGCAGAGACCGTTGACCAGAAAGCGGAAGCCTTTCGGACGGCCTTCTTCCCACAACCACCGCCTGCAGATCTCTCTGACACTACATCTTTCGAGTACCCAGAACCGATTGAATTTCCACCGATCACTATACACGAAATCCAAGATGCAGTAAAAAGGGCGAAGGCAGGAAAAGCACCAGGAGAAGACGGCATCCCAAACTCCCTCTGGCACAAGCTGATCGAGATCCCCATCATTCTACAAGTCCTCAGCCAGCTATTCAATGCATGCGTTCGCACTGGTTATAATCCAGCGCACTTTCAGCGATCAATCACGGTGGTCCTCCGAAAGCAGGGCAAGGACGACTATCAACTGGCAAAGTCTTATCGGCCGGTGGCGCTCCTCAACACCCTGGGCAAGTTCCTTGAAGCAATAATCGCACAAAGAATCAGCTACGCAGTGGAGACACACAGTCTTCTTCCAAAGACCCATCTTGGTGGTCGACGAGGCGTCTCCACAGACCACGCCATACACATCATCATTGATCGAATCAAACTGGCCTGGGGAAAGGGTAGTCCTGTGGTGTCCTTACTGCTGCTGGATGTGTCAGGAGCATACGACAATGTGTCCCACGCGCGTTTGCTCCACAACCTCAGAAAGCGGCGACTGGGGCAACTCGTACCTTGGGTGAAGGCTTTTCTGCTAAATCGAAGCACGCGAATCCGCATGCCCGAGGGCATGCCGGACCGCTTCCCAACACCAACCGGCATTCCTCAAGGATCACCAATTTCGCCGATACTCTACCTGATTTACAATGCGGACCTCATCGAAAGCTGCGGGAACGGAGTGACTAGCAACGGCTGGGTGGACGATGCCTGCCTCATGGTTAAAGGAGACAGCGAACGAGAAACGACCCAAAAGCTCAGATCGGCTTGCCGAAAGGCGGATCAATGGGCCAAAAAGCACGCTTCGGTTTTCGACCCAAAGAAGTACGCGCTCATACACTTCGTGAACACCCAAGAAGTCGACCCGCAATACACACCACTGTGTCTCGACGGACATACAGTGGCCGCGACGAGGACGGCTGAGCGTTATTTGGGATACTGGTTAGACCCGGCACTGGAGTTCCAGGACCACCGCGAGAAAGCGATTGAAAAGGCAGGTGTATCTCTCCAAGCGTTGCAAAGTTTAGCAGGTTCAACCTGGGGAGCCTCCCTTTCAGCCATGCGTAGGATCTATCAAGCGGTAGTCATCCCACAGATGCTCTTTGGGGTATCGGTCTGGTACCAGCCGATGGTGATTAGCAAGAAGAAGGCGCGCACAACCAGTCAACCGTTCGTGGCAATCCAGAAGCGGGCAGCATGCCTCATCAGCGGAGCGTTCAGAACCACAGCAGTGGAGGCTCTGAATACAGAACTACACCTACCACCAATTGCGACCCATATGAACCGTCTCGTGAAGGAAACGGCTGTACGATTGCGGACAGGACCCACATTCGCTGTTCCCCCTACGATGCTACGAAGTCGACCTGCGGAAGAGAGAGAATGGGCCGGATGGACACCGATGGAGGCGCAAACCTGGAAGACGGGCGGATGTCTTACGGCTCCCCCGGGTACTTTGGCAAGGCACTGGGAGAGTCGGAAGGCATTCGTCCAAGCACCCTGGCAAGCGCCACCAGAAGTGATCATCGAGGACAGAGAAGTCGCAGTAAGAAGCCACGACCAGATTGTATCCAAAGACCCAAGAGCAAGACCCTGGATTCTCTACACTGATGGTAGTGGGGTCGAAGGGAAAATCGGAGCAGCAGCCGTGGATCTCCAGAATCACCATACCCATAGCCAAATGGGGGATGATGACACGTCCACTGTGTATGCTGCTGAACTTCGCGGCATCGAGATGGCACTCAATTCAACCCTGGAAAGCACGGCACCATGGGTGACACAGGTGAAAAACGGACTTGTCATCTTCGCGGATAGCCAAGCGGCATTGAAGGCGCTTCGCCAACCACGAATGCCATCGGGACAGGTCTATCTGGAAGGGTGCCTTGACCTGATAAGGCGACACGCCGCTAACGGTATCCGAACTGAGCTCAGGTGGATACCTGCTCATCAGGGAGTGGCTGGCAATGAACTTGTCGACCAACATGCAAAGGAAGCGGCCCTGGAACCGCAAGAACCACAGAAACCAGACAATCGGTATATCCGTCTCGCAGCTGCGGCTAAACGCCGTATTCGCCGCGAGGCGAAGGCCGAATGGGAAAGATCATGGGTCATAGAGAAAACAAGCCGGCCGACGAAACGCCTGATCGAACTACCAACTAAGAAGACCCTGGAATTCTGGTCCGGCCTACGGAAGGCCACGGCATCAATCCTGATGCAACTTCGCACTGGGCGAATTGGTCTTGCCGCCTATTTACATCGCATCAACCGACGCGAGTCAGCGAGGTGTAGATGCAATCTGGGGAACCAAACGGTTAGCCATATTTTGCTTGAATGCCCGCTGCTCCAGGACGAGCGGAGTTGGATGAGAAACGCCTTGTCGGACCGTGGAGTCGCTCTTCGACTCAACTCGCTCCTAACGCGGCCAGAGGCCCGCGCGATTGTGGCCGAATTCATGGTACGGACAAATCTCTTGGACCAGTTCCAAGCAGTCGACCCAATGGCTCTCGGGGTGGAAGAAGGCGACGAAAAAGAGTGATCCCTTAGGACAGTGTGACGGAAGGAGTAGGATGGCGCCCGTTAGGAGTGCAGTGCCAGGTCCACTGTACTCCCTTGATGCAAGCGAACACAAGAGCGGCAGCCGACCGCCAAGATGGCTGAGCTGATAGGAGAGTGTGGGGAAGGAGTTTGTGTAGTGAAATCGGCCCTAGGTGATGGAGGGGACGAGGGGGACGTTCGTTCGAGTTTCCTATGTTTTTGTGCTTACGTAACCTATAATATTCTCAAACGACCATACAGGGGCGGGGAGCCCTGTGATACGGTCGTTCAGTGGGCTGGCAACCACTTTGAAGCTGTCGGCAGGCCTGACAGCACTCCCGCATAGCAGCATGTATTAGAGCGAGCTACATCGGGCAAATGAATTCATCATCATAGTGTATTCGTTGCGAACTCTGTTAACCTTGGCGAGGAGAGAGTCCTTTAAAATAAGCTCTTCGAATCGAGGCACTGTCGCGTCTTCGAGGCGAGTAATCCGCCGTTCCATCTTTTGAACTCTCTCGGCTAAATCTGTTGGGCTCTGGGCTACTTTAAGTAGCTTTTGGAAGCTTTTTTTAACGCTCCGAGGGGTATTTGGTTCTTCAATTGAGCTTGAGGATAGGGCAACTGAGATATCCCGACATTCGCGCGAAGGCTGTGGCAGTTTCCCGCGCGCATCATCCTCAGAAATTTGATCGAAGCCCTCAAGTGGCACAAATTCACGCTCCTCTCGCTCAGTAAGCGGTTTAACCACTAAATCAGGATTAAATGGGTAAATCCCTCGCTTCCTAAAGCTTCCCCGAATGATATGGGGGGTAAAGGTCTCTTCGCGAATTTCACGAATCCCCCGCAGAAATACTGCTTTATCAGTCGGATCACCACCCCATTGGGATACAGTGCGATTCCAGCTTCGAAAATGGGTCTTATACGTGAGAAACGTATCACCATCTAGAGGTTGAACGAGGTGTGTAGCATGCGAGATGAAACAGAACGGTAAGATTCTAGCCTGCCCGCAATACTCAAGGAATTCGGCAGTTAAGTGCGTAGTATGGCCATCAAAGAGTAATAAGCGTGGCTCATCTAATTAATAGTCCTTCTATTAGTGTGGATATCCTTTAAAAGTACAGAGAATATATAATACTGACTCTTCCCAGTGCGATTTATAGTGTGTTTATCGAAATGTTGAAGCCATTCAAATGCAAGATCTGAATTAAAATAGCCCGTCGGAGCCACTGATACGACCCAATCTGGGTTTAGTGACTCGTTGAACCATCTTTCAAGCAACACATTGCCTGTAAAAATAAAGAAGGGTGGTAATGCGAAGCCATCGGCGGATATGCATTCAATCGAGGTAAGGCTCTCTCGGGTCCCAGGAACCTCTGCGCGCGCTCTTTTGCGGCCAATTGCGCTCGTCTTGGAGCAGCGGGCATTCAAGCAAGACCTGACTGATCGTCTGGTTCCCCAGATCGCAACTACATCTCGTTGAGTCGCGCGGGTTGATGCGATGCAGGTAAGCCGCAAGGCCAATTCGCCCAGTGCGAAGCTGCATCAGAACCGATGCCGTCGCCTTCCGTAGGTCGGACCAGTATTCCAAGGTCTTCTTAGTTGGTAGTTCGATCAAGCGTTTCGTCGGCCGGCCTGTTTTCTCTGCGACCCATGATGTTGCCCACTCGGCTTTCGCCTTGCGGCGGATACGGCGTTTGGCCGCAGCTGCGAGACGAACGTATCGATTATCTGGGTTCTGTGGTCCTTGCGGTTCCAGAGCCGCCTCCTTTGCATGTCGGTCGACAATTTCATTGCCAGCCACTCCTTGATGAGCAGGAATCCACCTAAGCTCTGTTTGGATACCGTTGGCAGCGTGTTGCCTTATCAGGTCGAGGCACCCTTCCAAATAGACCTGTCCCGACGGCATCCGTGGTTTGCGGAGCGCCTTCAATGCTGCTTGGCTGTCCGCGAAGATGACAAGGCCATTCTTTGCCTGTGTCACTCGCGGTGTCGTGTTCTCCAGGGTTTAATTTAGTGCCATTTCGATGCCGCGAAGCTCAGCAGCGTACACAGTGGACGTGTCATCATCCCCCATTTGGCTATGGGTATGGTGATTCCGGAGATCAACGACTGCTGCTCCGATTCTTCCTTCAATCCCACTCCCGTCGGTGTAGAGAGTCAAGGGTCTTTCTCTTGGGTCTTTGGATAGAATATGGTCGTGGCTTTTCACTGCTGTGTCTCTGTCCTCGATGATCACCTCTGGCGGCGCCTGCCATGGTGCCTGGACGAATGCCTTCCGTCTCTCCCAGTTCGTTGCCAAAGTCCCCGGGGGAGTCGTGAGGCATCCGCCCGTCTTCCAGGCTTGCGCTTCCATCGGTGTCCATCCAGACCAATCTGTCTCGTCCACCGGTCGGCGTCGTAGCATTGTTGCGGGGACAGCAAATGCTGGTCCTGTTCGTAGTCTTATAGCTGTTTCTTTGACCAGGCGCTTCATGTGAATCGCGATCGGTGGTAGGTGTAATTCGGTGCTCAGAGCCTCTGCTGCCGTCGTCCTGAACGCTCCACTGATCAGGCACGCTGCCCGCTTCTGGATAGTCACGAACGGTTGGCTGACGGTGCGTGCCTTCATCTTGCTAATCACCATTGGTTGGTACCAGGCCGCTACCCCAAAGAGCATCTGGGGGATGACCACTGCTTGGTAAATTCTGCGCATGGCTGAAAGGGAGGCTCCGGGTGTAAGGATAATACATACAACGCATAAGCACCTTTCTCAGTCATTACGCTGGCGGCCCTGCCCTGGCTACATCCGCTGATCAGCTTGGACTGGCCCGCCAGCCTATATAGGCCTTTCTACATAGCCCGCCGCCCGAGCACATATGGTTGACTGAGATTCCTGGCCCAAGGATGCGAGACCCGAATCCGTACTTGTGGAGCATATAGCCATGGGATAGCTATTCCTCGGGGGACGGCCTAGCCCAGGGTCGTGCGTCTATGTGGGAGTCTACCCTTGTGGTAGAAATCCCCTGGGGGAATTTGCCCTTATATCAAGTTACCCCAAGGCAAGTTGTACCTGAGGACAATCTGTTCTTTTTTCTGGTGATCGTTCTGGATCTCGCTCGACCAGCAGCCTCACCACCGCTTCATGTCCACGCTCGGTTGCCCATGACAGCGGTGTCCAACCATCGGTATCCTTCGAGTCTGCCTCCACATCATTTCGCTCCAAAAGTAGTTTCACCACCGCCTCGTGTCCATATTCAGCTGCCAGGGACAGTGGTGTTCGACCTTTCAGATACTTCGAATCCGCCTCAACATCATCTCGCTCCAATAGCAACTTCACCACCTCTTCATGTCCACATTCAGCTGCGCCCAATAACGGTGTGCAACCAAACTCGTTCTTCGAGTCCGCTTCCACGTCATTTCGCCCCAGTAGCAACTTCACCACTTCTTCCTGTCCTTCGCCAGCTGCGTGCAATAGCGGTGTCCGATCTAAACAATCCCTCGAGTTCACATCCACGTCATCTCGCTCCACAAGTAGCTTCACCACGGATTCATTTCCAGAATCAGCTGCCCAGTACAGCGGCGTTTGACCATCGTTATCCTTTGAGTCTGCCTCCACATCAATTCGCTCCAAAAGTAGTTTCACCACCGCTTCACTTCCACATGCAGCTGCACGCGACAGCGGCGTCTGACCAAAACCATCCTTCGAGTCCGCTTCCACATCATCTCGCCTCAGTAGCAACTTCACCACTTCTGCATGCCCTTCAAAAGCTGCCCATGACAGCGGTGTGTGACCCCAGGTATCCTCCGAATTCACCTCCACATCATCTCGCTCCACTAGGAGCTTCACCACAGTTTCATACCCACGCCAAGCTGCGAGCGACAGTGGAGTTCGACCATTCTTATTTTTCGTGTTCACGGGAGTACTATTCTTCGCTAGCATGGCGTTTATTAGTCCGCTCTCAGCCTCTTCTGCTAGTAGGTGTAAAATTGTATTCCCATCTCCGTCCTGAATCGTAGTGTGTCGGATTGTCAAGAGTCGTATGAGTTCAGGAATAGCGCGTAAGAGCGATAATTGATCATGAGGGTTGAGATTTTCTGCCATGAGGAGAATGACCTCTCCTGGGAGAGTAACACAGTCGTTAGGTATATGCATAGACATGATAAAATGGGGTATTGTTCTGGCCCGCTGATCTATCTGGTCGTAGACTCGTGAGAAAGCCTTGACATGGATGATAAATATTTAGGAGCACAATGAGGGCTCCGGCGGCTGAAGCTGCTGGTAAGATGGTGGGCATAACGGTATTGGGAGGAATTTTATTGGGTGTGGGGAATCGGATTTATGGATATTCCTGTAGGCTGTGAGACCAGGGAGAGCACAGACCAGGCAAGAGAGGGTACGTCATATGAAACCCCTCAACATACCTCGACCATCTACGGAGTACAGACATATAGATGGATAGCATGACCCGCAATATTTGCCTTTGGAAATCCTCATCGCGGGGTTGTGATAGTTGTGCCTTTCTTTATCTTCTCAAAGTCTCGGTCTGTAATCAACCTTGGTGTTGGGTAGTCAGCTTTCTTTCCCTAGCGGAAGACTCGGCCACATACTAATTGTGAAGTAACAAAAGCCCAAAATCCGGGATGTACCTGACCCGTCTCCCGGATACGAACGCCCACGCATACATCCGCGTCACACATCTTACTATATTCGCATGCCTTTCTCATCAAACTTGTTTTGTGACGGCATTGTTTTTGGCGCATCAATTTTCTCTTTGGGGAGGAGTAATTTGATCGGGTTGGATTTATAACAGCCATTGCGAGTGGTCACCTTGTTCTTTGAGGGAGCGATGAATGTGAAAAGTATCAGAAATGCAAGCTCTTATAGGGATAGTCTGTTAGCAGGAAAGAGCCAAAGTGTGCAAAGGGCACTGTCGGGACATATCCTCCCGTCAGAATAAGCAAAGACATCATATCTGCTTGGTGTACGTAATCGTATGGGATTCAGGGGTATTGGAAGGAATACACATCTATCTACATGAATCAATTGACTTTTGCCTTTCGAGCATACACACTGTCCACTTAACTGTGTACATAGGACCTAGCTGGTCGTCGTGGAGTACTTCCGTGAGGAAGTCATCGCTCTGACGACGTATAAAAAGGGTGTCCGGCCAGGGCCACGGAAAACGTGGTATAGCGGAGGGCAGCTCGCGTCCGAAGGGTAGGAGCACGACGGACGATGTGGTACCTCAACGGGCAGGTGAAGTCCATCCGCTACCACGAAGACGAGACCTACGAGGTCTACGAGCAAACCTAGGCAGAGGATGGCACCTCGCTCACCGACAACCGCCCCGGACAGGAGTAACGCGTGGGAGTCGTACGACCCAACGAGGGGGCCTGGCTTCTTGGTCTGATCAGCGGCGATCAGGACGAGCTACGTAAGTCCGCCTACGTGCTCAGGAAACTAGCCAGTGACGTGCTGGACCACTGTAACGACACGAAGGCCGAGATCGAGCAGAGGCTACACTACAGGACAATTCGATGCAGTGCCCTCAGGAAAAGTGACCGGGATCTAGGGACTGGTGTCTTGTTCGGCCAATAGTCAAGTGGCTGCGGTTGGAGGCTGTGGCTGGAGCGACAGGGACAAAAACTGCGGGAGGTTCAGCTCGGCACACAACCGCAACAATTTTTATGTCGCGATCAATATCACAACCACGTTCCAATCCGTTCTTTGAGGTTTTGACCGCTATAGTCTTCTGGTAGAAGTATAGTCTCGGGAATGCAGCAGGAGTTGAAGTCAGATTCCCCTCCAACTTGCCAAGGCTTTGCTACGAGTCTATGGCCAGATCTGCCACATTACCAGACCAGAACACTGCGAGTATTTATCTTTTCGTATCTCCCATGCACCAGACTATCACAGTACCTAACAACCGTGTTTATCTCCCAAGAGAGGTTATTCTCATTGCGGCGGAGAATCTTAACCCTCGTGGCCAATTATAGCTCTTCCGCGCTGTTCCTGAACTCACCCGACTCTTGACATTCCGACACACTGCTATTCAGGATGAAGATTGGATACAGTTTTACACCTACTCGCAGAAGAGGCTGAGGTCAGACTAATAAAGCTCCTGCTAGCGAAGAATCGTACTCAAGCGGACCCAGCGGTCGGACACCCCTGTCGTGTACAGCTTGGCGTGGACATAAAATGGTGGTGAGGCTGCTCGTGGAACGAGACGATGTCGAGAGTGTCTCGAAAAATAACCTTGGTCGGACACCGCTATCATGGGCAATTGAGGGTGGACATGAAGCCGCAGTGAGGCTGCTGGTGGAGCGAGATCAAGAATCATCAGCTACTTGAGATCTAAATCAAAGATGAAACAATTGACGAAATATCCTCGATCTTTGGCTAGTGTATATAACTTTGTCTCAAATCTCGATGAGAAGAGAGCTAGTGGTCCCATTGGGGCATCTAATTGATCCCTCCTTAATTTGTACTTCAGCCAAGCTTTGACCATTGGGACATATGGAACCAGATATGAAAGTACATTTACATCACATGGATTAAATTCGGAGTTTTGGGCAGCACGCATTGGGACATGCGTGTGGTTGAAAGGGGCCAGCGACTTTAGTGGACTCTCATAGACGGTGAAGATAGTTGTTGGATTCAAGTTGTAGCATTATATATACATGCCTCAGTGACCTTGAACTGGTTCATAGAGCAAATACAGTTACTGACAGTTGTTTACTTCCACACCAGCATTTCAACAGTTGAACTTCTCTTGGTGCGGTCCATACTGTGAGTGACCGAGCTCTGTGAGGTATTCTGTTTCCAGACCATTTCCAGACAGCAGGCTCGAAACAAACCCATCATCAACAAGGGATAAGTGAAGATGACCATGCAGAGAGAAAAAGAAAACATTATCTGCGATAAGGCTCGTCCAATATCAAACCCCCCGCACTTCGACGCTGAAGCTTGACGACCCGCCTACTTGGTTCAATAAACAACGTCCAAATACAATACTCAACCGTAAACTTCCAATCGATCTTGTCGTTTTTTGACTTCATCAGCATGTCGCCTCTGACCAGCAGCTGCCAGCAATAAGTGAGGTACTTTCGCAACTCCTTCACATTGTCCTTGTGTAAGGGATCGTCGGCCCGGACAATCCTACGCGTAGGTGTGTATTTAGCGAATTCGATGATGGTAAGGCAGAGCTCCGTGGGAAGACCTTTCTGCTGAAGAGTCTGAATGACCTCAGCGATATCATCACGATGGGGACGATATCCGTCCATGTTTGCGGCAGATTTGAGTTGCGCGAACGACATGCGCCCGCATTGGTAACGGGATGCACGATAAGCATAAGTCCGTTCCTGCGAGAGTCCAAAAAAAGCTTGGTAGGGAAGCGTCTGCGTCGTTGTTTCGGCACAGTTCAGGATCATCAGCTGGTACGCCCGAGTAAGACGATAGTCAAGGAAGCTTTCCTCCGGAAAGACGGGCAAACCGCGTTCCGGACACTGAAGATAACTCTTCTTTGCGTCGTCGTCGTACAGCTCAGGCTTCTGCAGAAGGACATTCAAGCAAAGATACGATATCAACGCCGGGTAAAAGAGACCTTTCAGCCCATAATCGCTTTCATCATCAAAATGAGTTTCCCATGCTGTATACAAATTAACAGACGGGTGTGATGAAATCCGCAGCACAGTGTCCATCTCATTACGAAGCAGCAATATTTTGAGTGGCTCGAGCACCTCGTAAGGAGGCCTATAAACCCCACTCCCGGGGTAGTAGTCCATAAATGTGGACCAGGACTGCATTCTCCTGTCGTCAAGGGCCTCCATAGAACATATAGAACCACCTCTCTCTTGACTGTGCTGAAGAGTGCGCTGGATTTTTTCGGCGGTTGCCTTGGAAAATACCTCTTCGTGGTCTTTTGGTGGGTCGTAAACCTCAGAATACTTGGCTCTCTCAACGTTGCTATGTTCCTCTATTGTCCGGGAAAAGGCCATAGCGAAGTAGCGCAAGTCCTTAGGTGTCTGAGGAGCATCTTGCGAGAAGAGATTGGTGAGATAGTCGTTACGCCGGTATTTATACCGATAAATGAAGTTGTCCGATAGAACTTTCCAGGGGAGATTGTGGGCTTGATGTGTCATTCTTGGTCTGCGTTTTGTGTAACGCTCTGATATGAGTCGCGTAAAAGGTTTCGGAATCTCCTCAGGCGACTACATTCAACCCTGAAGACAGCGAGACAAGAGCCTTGACTTGTGAAAGGGAAGCTAGCAGTGTAGAGGAAAGAGTTAATCGGTCAGGAGGCCGGTTGATAAACATGAGCAATTTCAACACCGCCCGTGCCATACGGACCCACACCGCTTTTGTTTGTCTTTCGTGTTACGTACGTATCATCCACACGTATCAACATCTGTCGGAGCAAGCTATGACAGTAAGGGCTAGTAATCCTGATAGGCGAATGAGGTCGAGGATAGGAGCAAGCGGAACCAATCTTGGATGCCAAAGGGTTGATTGATTGAAGAAAGAACGAATGTCATGGAGCAGGTTGAAATACCCCATGTATGGCTCGAGTACACGGTGTTACGACAACCGTGATGCCAAAGATACCAAATTACTATACAAAACACAAGGGAAAAGTGGGTCACTGAGTATAACCCCTGTCTTAGCGGTAAGTTACCGCTCCATGTCTCGACAACATCTATGTAACAGGGCGAGGTAATCTCGTATCTGCTAGTATGCACTCTGGCGAATGAGGATCAGGCGGAACCGACTAAAACGGGATGAATTGATTGATTGTAGATAAAATGAGTGGCAGGCAGAGGGTACAGTATGTTAAATACACATCTGCAGAGTTGGTCCATAGTGGATATGTGGATGGGACCAATTCCTCCGGGTCTTAGAGGACCCATGGGATACTCGAAAGTGGCTTCGGAGCCCCGTAATTTACATACAAAACACAAAGAAAGGCGGGGGCCGAAGGAAACCAATAGGAGGCAGCTGTAACTGCTCCACTTTCCTCGACACTTTCTCAGTGCCCCACTCCGATTACGCTAAGCGAGTTTTGGTCAGATGAAGCCCCACCTCCACGTGGTGTCCGCTGGGAACTCTCAGAGAAACAGTCTGGCTGTCTTCGAGTGCCAGGAGGAGCTCAACAACGCGATCTTCCCCCCTTTTCACGACGCGCCGACGCGCCGAAAACCGAGTCTCCGAACCTCACGAAACACCAAACCTCACAGAACCAGTACCAGAGAGGAAGTCGTGACCCCTCATACGTACGCCCCTACGACGGAGAACGGAACTTGTCACTCCATTTATCCCGCCCGACAATTGTTTACGGTGCCGGATCTCGAAGATTACGCGATGCAGACGCGAAAAGGAAGGCCGGGTGTGATCACACAACACAGTCACAACAACCACCGACAAAGAACCTACGCCCGAGAAGACGACCACACTCTGCTCTGATGCCGCGACGCGTCAAAATCAACCTCCAACCTCACGAAACACCAAACATCACAGGACCAGTACCAGAGAGGAAGTCGTGCCCCCTCACACGTACGCCCCCACGATGGAGAACGGAACTTGTCACTCCGTTTGTCCTGCCCGACAACGGTTTACGGATTGGACATAGACGATGACACGCTGGGCTCGGGGCAGTCGGCGATGAATGGGGAGTTCGGTGTTGCCATAACATTGAAAACATCGCCGAGGCTTCTTGGCCTTCTTGATATAATTTTCGGCTTTCACAAGAAGAATATCCTGCTGCGAAGGCTCCGGAGAGCTGCGTCTGTTCCTGGCTGGCTCTGGTAACACGTTGGTCTGTTCTTCATCAAATCCGTCACTTGGTGCTGCCCGTTTACGTCGCCCACGCAATGGTCCACCTTCAAGGAAACAACAGTATCGGGAGATCGCAGCCACGGCGGCATTCCTTCTTTGCCACTCCGCTTCCAGGGATCGAGAGGTAGGCCATGTGAATAATTTCCCAAGAAGATCAATCTGCTCCGGTAGCATCTGGTCTTCTACTTGGAGTACCTTCTTCGCCTCTTCATCATCATCAGCAGCCCCCGAGAGCGCAAATACACTACGCGGCAGGTTAAACCGCTTAGCAGACCGGTATATTGAAAGTACGCCCGCGAATCCATCAATTGCAGAAAAGAATACGGAGGCTGCCTCTGAGGAGAGAAGGTTAGCTAGGTAGTATGAGAAAATGTACTAGACGCCTATCAGCGCACCGATACAGCACCACTATTGAATTTCCGTGTCGAGGAGAGGATACATACGTAGTACAGGAAGCCCTTCTCAATGCTAGCCAGAAAGAGTGTAATTAGCAATTGCGGATTGGAATAACCCTTGACAGGAACAGTTCTTGATACTCTTCCCCAGAGGACTAAACATACTACAAAAACAGTATACAACAGTCCTTCGGGGGAATTTTCGAATGTACACTGTCATGACAGTATTTCCAAGGAGTCCTCAGCTGTAGAAAAAGGCTGATTCCTCGACACCTTTTAGTATGACGTTCGGGCATAGATACTTACTGAGAAAAATATGCAGTCAAAGTCCACGCATGCCACTTAATGCCTTGAATGCGATATATACCTTCGGTAGTATAAACGCAGCCCAACAAGTAGGCCAAACCCTACACAGACAACCAGATCTTGGCCATGCCGAGTCTGGGATAAAATACAACACACATAGCCGCCAGGTGCGTCGTGGTGAACCTGTTTCCTCCCTTAACCTTGCTAACCCCGAGCAACTCGGCTGCTTGGTGATGGCTGAGTTCCACGACGACCACGGGGGATGAGTCGTCAAACTCTGTTGGGGTGATTGGTAATTGTTTGCTGAGCTTGTCGTTATCAACGAAGAAGGTGCGGAAGAACGCCGTGTCCATTTGTAGCTGTCAGTTCTTAGCTTGGGCTGGATAGAAAGAATTTGGCGGCTTACACTCAAGACTGTCCGGTTGAGCGAGTATTTGTTCAAGGCCAGCGCGGCCTTGACGTGGTCTCCAATCTGCTTCTTGTTCATCGAGCAACTCCCAGCATTTTTGACAGCCTTCTTGGGTTTAGCCGTTGTGCAAGCCTTCTTTGCTGGCTTGTTCTGGTCCACCTCGACGGATGAAGATGTGCGCTGTATAATATTAGTTAGTGGCATGCGTCGATTGAAGTTACTTGGGATGAAAGGATAGCCTGCCTTTCGCGATGTTACCATGTCGAAGAGCAGTTCAAAGAGGCAGAGTCGGGAATATGCAAGGAGAAAGAGGGATTGAATCCTCAGTTGGAGGCGGTGCTCAAACGATTCTGCACAAGAAAGGCGCGTTGGGAGAAGCGTGGTGGAAATGAGACTCGTTTATCCGTCCCTGGGGTCTGGGTTAACGTGAGGTGAGGGAGAACAGGTCCGCGTAGTGCTTGCGCTAGTCCTATTTTAGCTAGTTCATAGGGCCCATCTCCATATTCAGCATATCTGACGGAGCAGAAGAGGAGGTGGATACCCGGAGAAAGGAGATACTGTATATCCGCCTGGATTAGCCATGTTTATGCCCACATAAATTGCCAGATAGGGGCGAAAGCAATTGAGACTCATTGTGATTTCTATTGGTGCACCTACATGGCCTCTCATCTCCGCTCTAACAATATCTCTCGTCCCAATGGTTGCCTCGCATTTCTCGCGGTCTGACATTACTGAACCTGAGTCTGGGTTATATTCGGCCAACCCGGACCCGACCCAGGACCCAGACTGGGGCCCCAATGGGGCCCCAGCAAACCCCAACTTTGCATAAAATTAAGGTCTTGGCGTTCATAAAGCTGCTAAATAATCAGTCTGTAATCTTGGTATTTTTTGCTGTTTAGGTTAGAGCCTCTATTAACAAGCCCCTTGGATGTTAACTTTATTTAATTAAAGAAAATAAATAGTTCATATTAGTCTGTACAGTCAACTCTCGCTTTCTGCACACCCTTCCATCCAAGTAAATCCCTCTGCACACTGCGAATGTGTACACAACCCGAGATGATGACGTAATGCCTAAATCCTGATTTCCTATTTCGGTAGGTAGGAACCACTACGGACAACCTTTAATATGGAAAGTTTGTTTCTTCTATGTACAATTTTAATCGGTGTCTGGGGCTTTAAAAGTAATCGGCTCTATTCCTCTAGCATTAAAAGGTATATTCCTTGATAAATCTTGATATTTAGTACTCTCATGGGTTAAGATCGTAGTGTTGCGCAGGAGAGATATGTCGCAGCATGACTTGGAATATAAAAATTTCACTCGAAATCACGTACGTACGCTAAAATCGATAAAACTAGATATTGAAAGGTAGCGACTTTTACCTTAATAGAAATATCTGCTTAATTTTATCCAAATGCCCGATATTTTGCTTCTAATGGTACTTAAATCGTAGTGTATTCGGAACAGGAGCTAAGGGGTCAAACCGATTCTGGGGGGTTCAACTTGTCTTGGCACCTGGAATTCTACACTCTGATTGGCCAGATACCATGACTAATCAACCAAAAATCTCCTGCACACCTCGAATGTGCAGAAAATGAGCAATTTATATGGTAAAATGCATAAAAGTGGGTCCATCCATCCAAAACCCATGCAGCATGCAGATGTGTGCATATGCTAGGCGTGCAGAAGGCGAGAGTTGACTGTATCAAGTCGGGTCAGGTTCCAAGATACCCCTTAATCCCATGCACGGACACTCGGTGGTCACAACACCGGAGCCGCAGCTCCGCGCAAGAATGCGTACACCAAGAACGGGACGTTATGTCCCGACAGCTGCTGTTGCATATCCAAATGAGCCCGAGATTTTTTGAATGAGAATGTAGTATAACCACGATGGCGATTTAATTAGTGCTACTCTCAACTGTTTACGTATAAGCAGTTTCTGTTGCTTGCTTAGATTGACTTCTTGGAGTAAGCATCTGTTCACAGATTGAAATACCTGCAAAGGACAAGCAGGATGCGACAGTGCTACCTATATGAGATACGCTAATTTGAACCGATTTTATGGCCTATGTGGCCCCAGGAGCTCTGACGCGGCTTTTGGACCTCAACCTATCCCCTAACACTTGTTTCCTTCTAGAATCACGACGGACGTTCCTGTGAGTGGTTCTTTTGAACCTGGGAATTTATAAGCTCCTGGGAGCCTCCCGTTTGCCTCTAGAGATCCAAGAATTGCATGCTAGCCTGAATCAGAAAGCTAGGCTGATGCATCAGACTGAACAAGCGATATAAAGCGACTATTCCATCAACCGATACGTTTTGCGGTCTATTTGAGTACCATTTGGAATCTTGACGTTTGTACATGGTACGTTTTTAATATTCAAACAAATGACGCAAATTCTCGGATGCAAGAATTCGAAGATGCTGTTGCAGCTCCCTCCAGAAATCCTTCTCCACGTTTCAGGTTTCTTGCATTCATCACGAGATCTGCTTGTGATGGCCCGTGTGAACAGCTTTTTAAGAGACCTATTCCTCCCGTGTCTCTACGCCTTCAATGTTCGCCATCAGGAAAGCTCCGCCTTGATCTGGGCCGCTCGAAACAACAAAATCATTCTGGCAAATCGTGTGCTAAACGAATATCGAGGAAATGCCAACACGACCGATTATAGATTGCGCACCCCTATTTTTCACGCCATTCAAGTCGGAAGCGAGGGAATGATTCGAACTCTTTTGGAAAGCGCGGCAGACATCAACTGGCAAGATGACCAAAAGCAGACCCCCCTACTGTACGCTCTGCAGCGGGGACACCTGTCCATGGCGCGCATTTTATTGCAACATTTCAATCCATCAGTGGATTGTACGGATTTCAAGGATCGAAATGCCATCTGGTATGCTGTCGCCAATTGCGATGAGGATTTGGTACGACTGCTCCTGGAACTCCAAAGCGACATATGGATGATGGACTGCCGACAGACCACCCCTCTCAACCTGGCGATTTCCAAACGGAATTTGCCTATCACCCAAATGCTGCTTCATCATTCAAAAGTTCATCCTTCACAACCTCGACTGGTGGATATGAATGCCGGAGACCACCCGCTTTGCTTAGCCGTCGACGCTGGTCTGAAAGAAATCGCTCAAGCTCTGATTAACTATGGTGCAGATCTCCATGTCACGGACAGATACGGCCAGCCCTTGTTGCACCAAGCCGCCAGCAACGGGCATGACGACGTCATCCAACTGTTGCTGAGCCATGGAGTCGATGTCAATAGTACCGACCCAGGGGGCCACACAGCACTGCATTTTGCTGCATTTTATGGGCACAAGTCAACCACAAAGCTACTTTTGAGCACGCCTGGAATTGACATTACTGCTTCTGATAACGAAGGAGCTACAGCTCTCTGTGCGGCCGCTCGTGGGAACCACCGATCCGTCGCATTGCAGATCTTGGCCGAGGAGCCAGCCAATGTCAACGCACGCTGCCTTGGCCAAAAGACTGCTCTTCACTTTGCGGTTGAAAATAGAAACGTTCTCCTCGCTTGTCTGCTTGTGGACTTGGATTCACTGGACCCAAACGTCTGCGATGACCAGGGGTGGACAGCCCTCAGCTACGCGGCAGGTCAGGGCGATCTGCGGATGTTGGAGCTCCTCCTGACTAGGACCGATCTAGATTTGAATGTGTCGCGAGCATCTCCCATTTATCTTGCTGCCGAAAGGGGACATCTGGAAGTGGTCCGCCGACTTGTCTCCCTTGAAGCGGTTGATATCAATCAGACTGTCTGGCACAAGTCTCCTCTCTTTATTGCGATCGAAAACGGCTACCGTGGCGTTGCAAAGCTACTTCTTGAACAAGGGACTCGACTGGATGTTAATGCAAAGACCGCTCTTGGGGACACCGCACTGCACATGGCTGTCTCTTATGGGAATCTGGATATTGTGGAGCTATTGCTTCAAGACGATCGACTAAATGTCACGGGTACTAATCGATATGGAGAGTCAGCCCTGGAGCTGGCAGCCCGTAATGGGAAGGAGCACGTGGTCAGGCGTCTTTGCCGCGACCGTCGTGCGAGAAATGTTCGCCACTTCCGGGGCGCCATCGAAGCAGCATCGAACATCAGGATTCTTTATTTTCTTCAAGAGCAGTTGATGAGACATGACGTGGAATACGGTGTCCGTCGGTCAGCTCGACTAGCCAGAAGATTGTCCCAGTTCGCGGAATCGAGCACCTCTTCATCACTTCGACGGTCGGCGCGCTTGTCACAGCCGCGCCTTGACAGATCTTAGATGATAAGTTCCGGTCGGCGTGGAGTTTGGATAATTTGACGAAGTTTTGAAGAGGTTGTTCCATAGCTCACTCGTGACCTTGCTGCAAATGGGTCGCATGGAAAGGGTAGAATGCGATCGCCCAGAAATTTCGAATGAGAATCCAGTCGAGAGACACTGTTCGGGGATCAAGATCCTGCAATTAAGTATGCGAAGTGAGATCAAGCGGTGGTCTGGATGGATTGGATGTTAGAAAATTAGCATGATATCCGCCCTCCCGACTGCAGCGACTATTCCACTGGCATCAGCGCCATTCCAAACAAGCGGATCCCCGATGCAGATCGCAAATGGCCTCTCGGTGCGGAGCGCGGTGGCCCCGGAGACGGAGACGGAGACGGAGGTTCCCGGAGTAGCTTGTGGGGCTCCATCTCCACTTGATTTCCGGCGCTGATCACCCACTTCGCGCGCAAGCTGGGGGTGTCTTCAATGTGCAACGTGCAAAAGGTAATTCAAATTGAGCTCGAGTGTATCTTAGAGACAATTCCATCGCATTTTAAAAGGTTGAGAGCTCACTAGTAAGCATCCAAATCTTCGATGCATCTATAAAGAAATTGACAAACCCTCCATTTCCTCCAACAATTCCTCCTTCAATTTCCGCAGCTTGAGAAAATATCCTGCTTGAGAATTGGCGCAATTATACGTCTAAAGACACGTGAGCTAGTTAAAAAGTAATGAACATTTAAACACAATCCCAGCGTTTCACCGGTGCGACTTGAACGATAGAGGAGCTTCCTGAAATTGAGGATACGTAGAATGGTTCTGTACTGCGCAAATTCTTTCTGGGTATGCTATAGACAATAATTGTGGGCTACACACATTCTGAATTTATAATCCTTCATGAAAGCCTTTTATAAATGTGATTGCCCTCCGTCTGACCGGGTCGGAAGCAAAGTGTGGAGATACCAAGTCCACCAGCTGCAATGATAGTATCTAGATACGACTAGAAACATGCACAAGAAATTGCTGACGGGAGGCCATAAGGAGCATTCACCGTTATCAATGATGCTATTATCACCGTTGAACTTTTTTGGTGTCCATAAAGTTGACTTCGTGGCTTTGGATAGAGGCCCCTTCACCATGCCCATAGATAAATCTTGTGATTCCCCGACCGCCCACCTCAGATATTAGATCCCCTCAAGGGCTCCTCCAACTTCCAGGAGCTCATTGTCCTCAGAAACTGCTACGTTTTATTGACTTTCTGCCTCTGGCCCCTCTGTCTTTTGCTTTTCTCGAGCCGAGGACAGCTGAATATGGGAATTCCCGAGAATGGTACGTACCCTATCTCCAAACGTAACGTACTTAGCTGACTGGAGTGTAGACGATGTTGACCTTCATGAATTTTGGTGCAACTCGTCCGACATACCATCCATGCCCCCCTGCCTCGCCACCGACCGTGATGGATTTTTACTAGATCCAACTACCGAGGACCAGCCTGTTGGGTCTATCGCTCCGACACCACTTCCGATCGAGTGTATTCTCTTTCCTGACCCCCAGAATCTTCAAGCGGGCTTCGTGTGGCCGGGTCCAGATCCTCTATCGCACACCACTGAAACCGACGACATATTGCTCTATATGTCGGCATTTGTTCCGGCCAGACTACTGCATTGGGTGGAGATTCATCTTACAGGGCTAGATCGGATCACGGGCGAAACAATTGAGGAGCATTTGTTCCTGTCGGGACATATCCTCCCGTTGGAATAAGCAAAGACATGTTGTACGTAATCCTGCTAAGCTGCGGCTCCCGCCGTATGGATTCAGGGGTATTGGACCTTGACCTGGGACATACATCTATCTACATCAATCAATTTACTTTCTGCTTTTGGAGCATACATGCTGTCCACTTAACTGTGTACACAGTACCTAGCTGGTGATACCAACAGTTCCATCTGTCTCCGACCAAATCTGCCAGAGGTGATCTTTGCTGGGTGCGCAGACAGATGCTGAGCATCATCTCTGGGCCTAGGGATGACGAGCCGAGACTCTTTTTCCGATTGTTTTTACTGCCGGGTACGGAACCACTTACGTATATATACCGGACTCGGCCCTGTCTTCACAGGCAAATCTTCCCTACATGCCTGAATCCAGATCTCTTTGTACATAGCTTGATAGAGAATTACAGGTGACCTCTTTGTAGCTGGAAAGACAGGTCTTTCATTGCTACTTACCCAGATCTCTGCTGCCTTTATTTGCCCAGTGTTGGAGCAAAGTTCTTGTCAAAACAAGAAGTATAGACTAAGGATGTCACCCATGGTGCCTTTTTGGTCTAGCGGTAGGATGGCCCATATTTTGTTCGACAGTTCTTCATAATACCAAACGTCTGCACAACAACATATGCGGAACGACAATAGACGAAACACAGACTGCTTAAGATCATCTCGAGAGCATTCGAACAAAGCAATCAGCATACATTTTACTCCTTTCCCTTCATAAACCCAAACTTGTGATAGGTAGGAGGATGGTTAGCGTTCTCATCATTTTCAAATCAAATTCGCCCTGCCTGCAGTTCTTTGTTGGCTCAACTATGGTTATGATCTCAATGGAGAGAGCGGCTTTACTACCTACTTCTATGCTGTCGACAAGACAACCTGGAAAAAGTGAAGAACGCGGGCCGGAAATTAAAAACTGGTATAGTGCTCTCTAATAACCTGATAAACCACGCATAAAGAAAAAGTGTCACAATTTTTCCACAGCGCTCCACTGCTGGAATTCATCCTGCAAATGGGTGGCAGGTGAGGCATCCTGTGATAGATGCTCTACAGAGTGGACATCTCTCTGGCTTGTCGAGATTTTCCACGCACGACCGGCAAAACATGTGCCCACATACAAGTGCCGCCTATTTCCCTGTCTGCTCGTAGAAAACCGTGCACTCTAAGACTAGCTTTCTGCCTAACTGCGAGAGTTTGGCTTGTAGCTTTTGATGCTCGTCTCTCGCCACGCAAAGTTCATCTTGGAGCTTTCGGTTTGTATCTCGCAATGTTGTGATTTTATGGTCAAGTGCGGTTCGGAGCTTCTGAAAGCATGGTCCTAGTCTTGATCAGCCACGGAAGATGAAGTCTAATCACGCGATCAGGCCATACCAAGGTAGACACTTCGCTCGATTTCGTTCGTTTTCTTTTCCGTGATATTGTTGTCTCACGTGTATCTGCGCTTAATTCAACGAGTACGCCGGCAACTTCCATATATCTCGAATCTGCCTGAGGGTGGATCCGAGGCCGTGAATTACCTGGGTCGGTTCTTGGAAATCTTTCTTCATTTTCATCTGACAATCTAATTGTGTCAGGATGGTTTTCGCCTGCACCACTAGTCGTCATATTGAGAAAGAAATAGGTGGTGCGCGATCTCTGAATAGAACGATGAATTAGAACTGGCCGTGACAGGGTAAAGAGTGGGCAGGCCATTAATGTATTTGTGAACGGCGCTAACAAAGTCAGCCCGCTAACATACCCGGACGGTGCCACTGCACTATTCTAGGCCCTTGGCACAGCTGAAAATCAGCCTCTCATTGGGTGAACTAGACGATTGTATGCCATGCAATTTTCCACATAATCTTCTAACAAGATTGGACTAAATTGGATGTTCCTATAACGGGGGACGCTCCTGGAAGCTTGTGTGACAAATCCTGGGGTTACAGTTTCTGCTCCTAAGGCCCGGTATGTTTGTTCCTAGGGCCGATCAGCCAGTTCCTGGAAGGGGCATCGAGTTTCTAGGGCCTATGCTGACCCTGGGAACCGATAAACTTGCACATAAGATTGGGGAGATCAGATTTTTGTAGCTCTGATGTATAGCGAGGACGGTGAGCGTCGTGACAAAAACCCGTCCATTATCCACCATGACCAACGTGAGGAATCCCAAAAAAGGGGTGACGACGGCTTTGGTGTTTTCCGTGTAGCTTTATTTTGCGGCAGCTTAAAGAATGGAAGATAGAACGTATATGTGGAGTTTGGCTGGTGAGGTTCGATAAGAGGCATCTCAAGCGCGTCCCAGGATGATACCCAGGTTCAACATACTTCTCAGGCTATTCAACCCTAAACAGTCGACTGAAAAGAGCAATACCAAACTTTCTGGAGGCCACCTTGGTCTCGCAGCATGATCATCACCTTGCGAAACTAGAGCCGATCTATCTCTCTTACACTGGGAATGCAATCATTTCCCTAAAAGACAGTCCATAGCGAGGACCGAAGCATGTGACGCTTCAACGCAACATAAACGATGATCATGATGATGACCAGACATCCGTAGGCAGCTGTTGGTATCACCAGCTAGGTTCTGTGTACACAGTTAAGTGGACAGCATGTATGCTCCAAAAGCAGAAAGTAAATTGATTGATGTAGATAGATGTGTGTCTTCCGTCAGGTCAGGTTCCAAGATACCCCTTAATCCCACGCGTCGATACTGGGCAGTCATAACACCGGAGCCGTAGCTCCGCGCAAGAATGCGTACACCAAGCAAGGGATGTTGTCTCTCGGCTGACAGAAGGATATATCCCGACAGCAGCAAAACCAATACCTCCATAGTACATCTGTAATATCGAAAGCGGCTCACTTTATCGTTAAACCCTGCAAACAGGCCTTGATATCTATGAACACGGTTCGCAAAATACCCTCCGACAGAGAGGACCGCCAGGCTCAAAATGAAGTGAAAGCAGCCAAAAGAATAGTGGGCATTGCTATTCTCCTGTAAGAGTCGCGGGTGGATCAGGAGCATGCCCCCAAAAGTTGAGAATAAAGCCGAAGGGAGAGCCAAGATTACCATGCTCTTGAAGACATCGGTCATCACATTTTCAAACGTAATGGAAAGCAAGGAGCCCTTGGTACGGTCTGATCTTGCGCGATCTCGCAGAACGACCGCAAAGTGAGCGAGCGCTGAGCTGAGGCTAGCTATAGACAGCCAAGTGAGGGCGAGAAAGAAGATGAGGAGACGAATGCGAATCTGAGATGCAACTGCGACGAAAGACATGATGTAGCTGGATCTGCAACTCGCCGCTTTTGTGTATCTTGAGAATCGAGTCTGTGTTGTCTGTAAACAAGGTCAGATTGAGCGAAGATTGAGAAAAAAAGTTGAACAGGCCATACATTTAGATACGTGCTACACGGATTATATATAGGCTCGCGGCGTCTGGTATAAATAGCATATTGAGGCTCTTTCTTTGCCAAGATACATGGCTCTCCTGGGCTATTTGGCAATCTCAGCTATCATTTGCGTCGTTCCGCTGCTGCCACTAAATCCCCCCAGAAAGAAGTATCAGAAGTCTCAAAAATATTTAAGTGCGTTCGGAGATTGACTTGGAAACTGGTACCATTGTTGAAGAGTTTGAGCGTCCAACACCACCCTCGGGTATCAGTCGATATGTCGCACTGCTTAATATCTTGGATGGTGGATGTGGGATAGAATGAATATTGTATCACCGTATCTTTTTCTCGAAGCACTAAGGCGTCTTTCGGGTTTGAAAGCTGGACAGTCGGCACGGAGCTGCGATCCAATAGATCTTGAACGTTCAGCGTAACGCCGGAGGTGAGATCCATTTCGGCACCAGGCATGACAGTGTGGTCTTGGAGACACTCTCGGAACAGTCTCCACGAGGGTGAAAATTGTCGACCCTTATTGCAAATATACAAGATGACACAGCTTTTCCCGGGAAGCGTGCGAAGATGCGACCCGACCAGTACCGGCTTTGCGTTCTGTTCGTCTACCATTTTTCTAAGCCACTGATCGCTTTTGAAAATGGAAAACCAAAGCCGCATGCGGTGTTGATCCGAACCCCACGCTTCATGGCCTAGACACGATAGGAGTTTTTGCTGAGCAAAAATCGAAGTATAAGAACCGATGTGATCAATTAGCTCCCTGGGAAGCTTTTTGATCCATTGAATAGCGCTGATTCCCGTTTTTGCTTTTTTGGACGATCTGGGTTCATTTCCAAAGTACAGTGATCTTTTCATATGGTTGGTGGCTCTGGTTTGTTAGATAAAGTTAAGTGGCGGAGAACCGTCAAAATCGTAGCTTCTGGACAGAAGAAAGAAAGATCTCACACATCAAATGCATATAAATTCAGGTTACGGGTGAGGAGAGAGAAGATATATAGAGGATTCTCAGTACCATTCTTGGGCTTCCTGCCAGTGCCTAAAAGAAGTGGTACGATCAACAGCGTACGACTTGAAGTCGACCCTATTGCATCTTCAATGATCAGTGAGGCATTTTTTCTGAGCAAAGTCCAGCATGTTCTCACATTTTCTTTAGAACTACATCGAAAAATGAGGCCGTTACTGTAACAGTTCCACGGGTCCGTCTTTCTGTGATTCCCATTAGCAAAGTGATGGAGAAACGGTAGGAATACTAATGTACTGTATAAAATTGTGACTTTTGGATATGATCCAGCAATTTTCCATCCTGATATTGTTCAAACGCTGGACCTCTATCAACGACGGCGGTACAAATAAGGAGGTTCCTTCTCCTGGGACTGATCAGCCTCATCTGTCAGCTCTTTCTGCAGGTGTAGGACAACCACCATGAGTTGAGGTCAGCATGCCTGCAGGAAAATAGCGTATAAGCTTAGAATAAATTTTGATTGGACAACAGTAATGCACCGTTAGAACGCCTCCATCAACTATTTCCAGTGTACTGCTTTCAAAGAGTGCCGCGTACGTGATTCAACGTTGAAGGTCAAGTTCATAGCACCAACGATCTCACAGCATTCACTGGCCGAT